CCGTCGATGTCACGTTTTTGTTCGCACGCTAAGGGAAAAAAGATCAATTTGAAAATTTCTGGAAAATCAAGCTCTATAAGGGAACGAAGCCTATTGAAATTGAAAGAAATCTTAAAGAAAATGGGAGGGTTAAAATATTAAAAAAAATCCTAACTCAAAAACGAAAAACATATCAACTCAAAATTTTTAGCAAAAATTACACCCTACAAGGGGAAAAAATCTTTTGTTTCTGAAAAAAATCTGATTTAAAAATGGGGATTTAAGGGGGGCGTTTAAATTAAAAAAAAATCAAAAATGAGACGCGAAAACAAAATGAAATTTTTAGTAAAAATCAAGCTCTATAAGGGAATGAAGCCTATTGATTCTAAAATAAATCTGAATTAAAATTGGGAAGGGTGGGGGTTGAGAAGGGTTAAAATATTTAAAAAACGAAAAAAATATATATCAGCTCAAAATTTTTAGCAAAATCAAGCCCTACATGGAAAAACGCATTTTAATTTTGAAAAAATCTAATTAAAACTGGGGAATGAAGGGGGGGCGTTTCAATTTAAAAAAATCATAAACCAAAAATATAAAATGATATCAAAATTATTTTTTTAGTTAAAAATCAAGCTCTATAAAGGAATGAAGCCTATATTGATTTTGAAAAAAAAAATGAATAAAAATGGGGATAATGGGGGTTGAAATATTGAAAATTAATGTTTTAACTCAGAAACGATCAAATTGAAATCTTCAGGAAAAATCAAGCTTTATAAGGGGAAGAAACCTATTGATTCTGAAAAAGTTTGAATAAAGATGAGGTTAAGAGGGGGGGGTGTTGAAATATTTAAAAAATCCTAACTTAAAACCAAAAATATTATCATCAAAAACAAGCTCTGTACGGGGACAAAGCCTATTGATTTTGAAAAAAATATGAATAAAAATCGGGGAGTTAAGGGGGTTTGAAATAAAAAAAAATCGTAAATCAAAAACAAAAACCGATATCAACTTAATTTTTTTAATAAACTTTAAGCTCTTTAAGGAGATGAACTTATTAATTATGAACAAATCTGAAGTACAATGGGGGGTTGAAATATTAAAAAAAAAAAAAATTCTAACTCAAAAACGAAAAAGATATTGAATTGAAATTTTTAGGAAAAATAAAGTTTTATGAGAGGATGAAACCCATCGATTCGAAAAAACAAAAATCTGAATAAAAACGAGGGGTTATGGGGGAGGGGTCTATCAAACTGTGAAGAGCATAATATAGAATGCCAAGCATTATATATCTTTAGTCTAGTTTTTAATTACATTAGAGATGATAGGTACTTCCAATTTCATTCGAATATTTCCAATTACATTAGACTTAATTTAATGTCTAAACTGCTTTTTAAATGGTTTCATTCACGGATCAAGTATTCTCAACTACAATATTGATGTGGCATTGCCACTGTTTATTCGCGTACTGCCTAATGCGCTGATCTTCCTTCTCCCACTCATCCATCCTGATATGAATGTGTATGAACTTCGAGAATGTATTGTAGCAAGCAGAAGAACACCGTTAAAATATATTATAATGGTTCCACCCCAGAAAGGTTAGACCATTCCAATATCCGAAATTTCCAAAAAAAAAAAAAAAAACTAAACATAACACAGCCCCACAAAAAAAAAAAAAAGTGTTCAGACTTGCCGGCCGGATATATGTATTCCCATGTATTTTTCGACGCTGAATCCTATCCCGAGCTCAGAAATGGCCCTTCACGTCTGGAATTGGCCCTAGGGGCCAAAAATTGCCTATATATGGCTAGAAAGGTGGAAGAGTCAGGACTGGCTCAAATCGAGTTTCTGAGGGTTTCCGAGGTTGCTGATCACGATTATGATGTTCAAATTGAACCACAGCCGATGTGGAGCTCAGGAACGACGATGAACGTTATCTACGGGACTATCCCAAAATTCACGCGGGTAAGGAGCTCGTGGGTTTTTTGGGTTGCTGAATTCAAATATAATATCGGCGAACACCCCCTGGACACCTGGTGCACTGGAACCGGCACGTGGACGTCATTTCCGAGAAGTTTCTTGCCAAGATTGTCAAAAACAAGCTGAAAAACCTTGTAGGGGTATTTTTTGGAACCCTTGGTCCAAATTTCACATCGAAAATGATCCCCGAACACCTAGTGCACCGAAACGTCGTCTCCGAGGATTCTCCAGACACAATCGCTAAAGACAAACCGAAAATCGTCATGGGGTTTTTAGGCACGCGGAACCCAAATTCCATCAGGAAAACGTACCTACGAAGACCTGGTGTACCGGAACTCCGGCCTGAACGTCATCTGAGAGGGTTTTCCTCAGACAATCGATACTATCGAGACTACTGTGACTTAGAGATCCCCGTAAACCTCACTGTATGTATGTACTTCTGTATGAGGAAGTAAAGTCGGGGACTCTATACTGTATCCTTTAAACAACTCTTTATACTTGTCAATCGAGTGTAGAGGAATGCATGGGTAAAGTATAGATGCATTAGAATCGGTGGATGGGAATTCGGGATCGTTTAAATACCGGGGAAAAATATCACATAGGAGTAATTCTTGAATTAAGGCCGTAACCGAGCGTGATGAAACCTTCTCGACGTCAAATCTATTCGGAGAGTAGAAGAACATTGGCTTCACTCAATTTTCATAAGAATACCACTCGATTACTACGTCCCAAACACGACATTCCGGCCCTTAAGGGGTATTTTTCCCGGTCTCAAAGGAGGAATTCCAGTTGGCCATAAACTTTTCGAGTACTGTCTGAGTTCGAGAACAAGGACATAAAAATACCACTGTAGCGATTGCAACGGCAAATAATAATAAAAGCCGTCCCTTCCCCTACACAAGTCGACTTCAGGGGTTGAAATTCACTCGTAAGGGGGTGAATTAGGGAGAGTATTATTATTATAACGTCCGAAACACGATTTTCCGGCCCCTATGGAGCCATTTTCCCGGTCCCAAACTGGGAATTACAGTTGGCCATGAACTTTTCGAGCACGGTATTCATTCCAGAATCCAAAAGTACATAAAAGTACCACCAAAGCCATCGCGACGTCCGAAACACGATTTTACTGCTCCTGAGGGGCCATTTTCCCGGTCCCAAACGTGAAATTTCAGTTGGCCATAAACTTTTCAAACACGGTATTCATTCCAAAATTCAAAAGTACATAAAAATACCACTGATGTCATTGCGACGTCCGAAACACGACTTTGGCTTTAAGGTGGGTCCACTTTGCTCCCGTTCGTGCTCGCGCTAATGTTGTTTCCGGAACGCTGCTCTTTGTGTTTCTTCTGTTGGTCAAGATCGTTTTATCCGCGAGCAAAAGTGTCCACGTTGTAGTTCTGTGTTTGCGCTCTTGCGGTTCCGACATGGATGATCAATTATTATTAACAGCGGCTGCCAGTGCGTTAATTATTATTATAAAACGAAGAGAACAGAAAAAAAGTGACAGAAAGACGGTGTTGGATGTCAAATATTTTTAAAAGTAGATCCAAATACAGTGGAGGTAATCTTCTGCATGATTTGCAAACACATGGCATGTTTTTTAATAATTTTTGTCGCATGAGTAGTACCGATTTTGAAACACTAATTAATTTAGGTGGCCCACATATCCAAAGAAAGAATACTACGATTTTTTTTATTATTTAGCTTATAAAATTTATATTGTGGATCCCACAAAACAGGATAAGTTTCGTAAAGCCCAATTAGTTTCAAAATGTTTTCTTCAGTCCACTCCATATTTCACTTCGCCTTGCTCGTACGCTCGTACTTGACTGAACTTGAAAGCGAACAGTAAAAACAAAATCACCAAACCACCGTCAACTGTGCTCGCGCGCTCAATATGCATCCCTTTGATGTACCTCTACCTGACCGAACAGTCAAATCAGGTGTTTTGGGTGATTGCAAGCACGAGGAACGCTGCAAACAGCTCAAACACGACGAATATGATTTTTGTTTCATTCGTGCCGTTTGCTCCGTTTGTTGCGTTTGTTATGTTCGTTCGCACTGTTCGCGAGCAATGTGGACCCACCTTTATGCACCTTCAACCACGCCTCATCTCAGAATCCACCTTTCATGCCATATAGAGGCCATTTTTGGCCCTTGGGGCCAATTCCAGACATGGAGGGCCATTTCTGAGCTCGGGATCGGATTCAGCGTCGAAAAATACATGGAAATACATGTGTCCGACCGCCAAGTCTGAACACTTTTTTTTGTGGGGCTGTGTAATACTAATCGATCAATTTTGAATTTTAAAAATAATCTAAATCTTCCGCTTCGCTACTTTTTTTCTTGCTCCCGGTTCCTGTTCTTCTGCTTCCTGCTCTTCTGCCTGTACTCCTATTGCTGTTTTCATCTACTTTCTCCTCCTGCTGACTCTATTTTTTGCTAAGTTCTCCTCCCTTCTATTCAATTTACACTTATCAATTCAATTTAAATAAAACTTTCTTTTTTTTTATTGTATCGCTACGATAAAAATCTTCAACTTGAATATCTGTCAATATATCTTTAGCTGAATTATTTTTTTTAATTTCCCATCTAACAATTCTAAAACCCTTTGACAATCTTCCCAAGATCTTATTGACAATTCCATTAATTTTCACTAATTTATAGAAGATAGGTTTTTATTTGTCACTAACTAGAATTATTTAAAATACTCATACTCGTTACTTTCTAAAATTTGCAAAAGTACTCATTTGCTTTGAGTACTCATATGCATATAAGTACTCATACTCAGATACTACTTAGGAGTACTTTGTAAAGCTAATAATTGTGAAGTACTCTGCCCAGCTTCGATTGTGTTTAGGTGTACAAATTCATGTGTCTCACCATTCGATTGTATTTCAACTTCTAAAAATTACCGATTACCTGTTTGTTTATTTACTCTAAATAACGAAATAGATATCTAACAAGTAATTTAAAATTTCAGCGATATTTTTAAATATTTAACTCTTTTTAGTAAAATAATACAAAGGAAATAAATTAGTTACCAAACCAACACTTTTTTAAATCGATATATTTTCTCAACTTAGGTACATAATAATTTCTGTAAAATAAATTGAAAAATATAACTTTAATTTTCCATGCTATCCTTAACACAACTAACAATAAGATCTTCATAAGTCCATTTGGGAAATACCCTCTTATAAAGATTCAACATGACTGTGTCTTGAGAATTGAGATGCCCATCAAATATACATTTCATATGACCGTGAGTACCTAAAATCAACAGAAATAAAAATTATGATTTTTTTTAATGATATTAATAGGTCGCTTTGAAAAGTCCACGGACAGGTCCGGCGGACTAGTCTGAAAAGTTGACTAGTTCAAACACACTTTTCAAAAGCGGAAAAGTGTATTGCGCATGTACGAAATTCAATTAACTAATTCGTCTGAATTTCTTACAAAGGCAAAATTTAGTCTAAAAAAGAAGAAACGATAAATGTTTACTGACTTTTATAATGTTTAAACGATGTTTTCGAATTTTCGTTTCATATCTTATTAAACAAAAAATTTCCAAAAAATCCAAAGGTTGGAAGTATTTTACAAATGATTTGCCTAAAAAAACCAAAATACAAATGTAAATATAATTCCCAAAGTGTTTTTGAAAAAAAAATTCAGGATGAAGATTTAACTGTGTCTTGTATGCTCAAGGTCGACTACTTTTCATTACTTTTCACTACTTTTCCGGACACTTCCGTCGGACTAGTCCAAAAATTACTTTTTATGAAAAGTCCCATCTCTAATATTAATACAAAATCTCAATCATTAATGAAAGGAAAATAAATACCCAGTGGTTCCTTAATGTGCCCAGTTCTGCCCATTCTAGTCCTTAGTTTAACTGGTTTAAAATACACTATGTCATTTCTATTGAAGAACATAAATCTGATGACTGCCGATTTTTTGTGGATTTTGAATGGGTAACCTAAAAAAATACATTTATAAATTAATAATTAACCCTACAACAAATCATGATAGAACAATTCATATGGCTGCTATGGGATTTGAACCAGCCAAGAAACAGAATATCTAGTGCTAAGCGTGGTGAACAGCAGGGCCAATATTTCAATTTATTGTATAATAAATTCTATATTTTTCTCGAATTTTATGAAACGAAAAATAGTTTCTTGTTTAATAAATACACAGAGCCTTATTGAAATACATGCACATATTAAGTTATAAGACTGTATGATGCCCAAAACAAATGGTACCAATTTTTTCATTTAATTCTAAAATTTCTCATTTTCCGACCAATATTATATGCTTGTTAAGCCAACTAAAACATCTTCGATATCGCCGGTTTGTTACTTGTTGCGGATTGGCTCCTATTAATTGTTGAATATTTTTATTCTTATTCGATTTTTAAATCGATTAATTTACACTGTATGCTTCGGACTGAGAATCCATAACACTGTCGATATGTTCCATTTTTCTAATTTATTTATCAATTTATCTTTATTCAACAACATTTATTTTAAAACTTAGTACAGTAAAATAATTCACTTATATACGCGTCGGGCTGCGTACAAAAAACATTCTCGATCGCCAGCGTCAGACATAACGGCAGCGGTGAAGATCAACAAAGAACAAGATCGAGCTTGTTACACAACATTACCCCTTCCTTAATATAGTTCCTCCTGGAACTAAAACTTAATGGATATATCTGCAACTGGACCCTCTTTTACAATTTCCATCTGTATGGAAGTAAATAGGGCCGGTTTTCGCTGTAACTTGGACACTAAGCGAATAGCTGCAGACTAGTATTTGAACCTCGGTATCTTGAAAGATTGCTTCCATCATGTTTCTAATGATCCTCCAATTCAGCTGGTTCCTCTCTATCTTTGGTATGGCTAATTTCTGTACATTGGACTCAGTACGTGCTCCCTTAGAAAAGGTAACGCGATCCATTTTAAAGTTTCAAGGTTTTTCCAGGGAATGATAACTGACCCCGGTAATCGACCAAACTTCTTCTAAAACACAGATGTGTCGTTGATGCTAGAGGAAGTGCTATGGACCAGCGAGTAGTCTTCAGGAACCATGAGCAGATCTTGTTGTTGCTCAGTTGTAACACCATATCTTGTTTTTCCAATACCTCCATATGTACCCATAAATTCTTCAAAGACAAGGTCAAGTTATTCCTGGAGCTGGTTTACTTCTTCTTCTTCTTCGACATCATCATCCTTAAATGGCGCCAGTTGGTTTTGGTGCACTACCTTCAGTTTATCGTTCGGGATCTTGCTTACACGCTACATTGTAGGTTTGTTAAAACAGCTCCTTTCTGATGTGTCTCTGACTCGTGCATGGATGCATTCGTAAACTAATCATGCACATGTCAGTCCATTTATTCGTCCGTTGTTTAATCAGCGACTTGTCCTTGTTGGAATGCAAAATGCAATGAATTGGATAAAATAAATACATGTATGGTAAACAAGTATTTTAAACATTATTTAAAATACAACAAAATACCATTTATTTAGCTGTTTCAAACGATCTATGTGAATGTATAATTTTGAAAGCCTAAGATGTTTATGATATTAAAAATAAGTACGTTTTTTACATAAAAAAAAACCGTACACAAGATAAAAACAAACCCAAGTCACTCCGAGCTAACTTAAAATTCTAACAATTACAAACAAAAAGCACGAACGAGACGTTTAAATGCGCATGTGCTGATAAATAGTACAAGCAATGAGCTCTGATCGTTTTGACAATCCGCCGACTCATTCATGTACGAATCAGAAAATACGTTGGAACAAACCTTATCATTATTTTTTTAATGAGGTACGGACCTTCCCAAGACCTCTGGAGCTTGGGTATCGTACCATTTCTTCATTCTGTCATGGGCGAATTGAAGATACGCGCAAACTAATTGATGCAGGTTATTTTATAGAGAAAACCACAACATAAAATTATTTTTTAAGGATTAATTCCAAACCTTAGGCTTATGAATGATTTTTGGGAAAAATAATACCACTGAAATAGGTATACCTCTAAGCTTTAAAATATACAAGGTGACTTATTTGTATGAAGGCATTCTATTTTAAGAAAAGTACAAAAACTCCAGTCAAATGTAACTATTTTTTAGGTATAATATAATAATTTTACTACTGTTTTAAGAGGTGTGAATTTTAAATCGAATACTATGACGAGTTTTCACGATTCAAGGAGTTAAATTGGAGAATTACTGATTTTCGTTATTTTTTCTTCAAACTGAAAAGCTACATTGTTTCTTCAAACTGAAAAGCTAGACTGAGTTTATGTAGCATATACAGGATTGGGCAAAATGAGCGGAGCACCTGATTTTTGGATTAATTGTGACTGGTACTAAATTTTTTTGTATATTATATGTACTATTTTGCGGTGTTTGCAGATTTCCTATTTATGTCATATTTTTCAAGACATGACGTCATCGGATAACATCTTAAATGCTTTCCCTGTATTTTTATTTTTTGAGTACATATGATTTTTATGAATTAACTAATATTAGATTTAGTAGGTCTGTGACTTATAGTTTTATCAGAAAAAAATAAAATTTAATAGTAAACATTAATTTTAATATCCTAAATATGTATCACGGTATGCCAAAAAATATCTAAAAAATCTATTTTGACATTAATATCAAATAACAATAATTTTTAATACATTTCATTTTACAAATTATTATTAATCTATTGATGATTGTTGTTTTTGAAGAAAAAAGGTCGCTACAAGAGCCGCTGATTTGTTTAATGTTACATTCATTCAAATTAATGATTACTATTACATTTTTTTTTTCATATAAAACCTGGTATTAAAAAATTCAGAAAAATCATAATAATAAATACAGGCAGACGTATTTAAAATATTCGATGGCGTCATATCTTAAAAAATATGACATAAACGGAAAATCTGCAAACACCACTAAATAGTACATCAAATACACAAAAACTTTTATGCATGTCAAATTTTCGCACCAAGAATAATTAAGCCATAAATCAAGCGTTCAGCTCATTTAGCCCAACCCCGTATAAGTTTAATATAAGTTTTGGTCAGATCTCTATAAAAACAAACAGTTTAAAATATTTAATGTCACAGGGTGATTCACAAATAAATAACATATTTTTGCAAACAATAATTCTACAGTTGCGCCACAGAAATTATTTTAATAAGTTAATATTTATGTACCGTTTACAATCTTAAGGGTAAAAGATTTCGCCGTGTACTTTTTATACAGGGTGAGTAATGCAGCCATCCACCAAAAATAAATATGGTTTTTGAAATTATTAAAACGAGACCTTGCATTACATTACAATAGGTAACTGTTTTATAATTACCTACAAACTACAAAATATGTCTGTATACACAAATCATTTTTCGATATTAGTAACAAGTTTAACTTAGGCTCGTGTCACGTCCAGTAAAATATTAAAAAATCATTATTAAAATTCATTAAAATAAATTATTATACTTTTAAATAAATCCTAGAATAAAAATAATCATCGTTAATAGAAAATCTCAATAATCTCTTAAATGTAAATGTATCCTTAAGTAAATAATATTGTATACATTTAATAACAAAAACATAGACGTTGAACTCTTACCGACCTGCATTAATTGTGTCGAATTAAAGAAATAGCAAATTCAGCAAATATTTAATAGGTATAAATTCGACACTCATTAATGTTACGAGGAGAGTTCTCCATTTGCTGTACTGAGAGGTATCTAAAGTAATAGATATCTTTTAGTTTTGGGGTAAGCGTCGTGACGTGCCACTAACGGGGATGTTTTAGTAAGGCCCTTTTTTTATATCGTAACATTTGTGGATCTTTTATTTATATTTAATAAATTGTTAATTGTTGTTCTACTCTTTTATTTCCCCGTGTCAGGTAGCACATAGAGTCATTATTTAAAGTGACTCAATCACGACAATAGGCTCGTGACATATGGTATAACTTAGTCAGTAATACCATAGATATATTTAATTGTAGTGTATATAGCATTAAGTCTTAAGTTTTTAAGTCCATATATAGTGTTTACCTATCTTTATGTTTTCGTAATTATTTTTGTCAGAATTTCCTGCTCTGTAATTGGAATTGCCTGTTAAGCAGTGTACCAATAAATAAATAAAAATAAATAAATAAATAAATTTAACATATAGTTAATATGAATTAGAAATAACATTTTTTTTTGTTATTTCACTGATAAATGAACATGGTACTCTTGATTTGCTAAGTAATATTTGGACAATTATTATAGAAATAGACACTTGATAATTTATTCTTAATTACCTGATAAAACTATCCTCTTAACGACCAATCTATCTGGATTACAAGAAAGTAGACTTCCTGTACCAATAAGAACCAGTTTATTATTAACTTCTTTATAACAAAGAACAGGAGCAGGTGGAAACTGAATTGGGGCATAGAAAGTTGCTACTGAAGTAGATTCTGGTTGGAAATACCTTTCAAACTAAAACACACAAAAACATATTAAAATAAACCAGAAAAAGGATGTAAAGTGAAGCAACTAGATAATTTTAAAGAAAAATTTATATTAACCTTATGTTTTCTACCATTAGTATGACTACTAAAAATTGGATTAACAATGAATCTTCTGTATCCACATTGAAAAACTAATCGTTCCTTGGACTTAATTGGCAAGTTATAATTGTGTGTCCTTCTAAGTACAACATTCATAACAGACATCTTGTGTTCATAAGGGAACATGCCAATTAAAGTAATAGGTGCCTTTGTTTCTTGGAAATTCGTCCACAAAAGTTGTGAAACACCTTTTACATGTACTGTTAGAAACCATCCAGGCTATAAATATACATATTTAGAAGTTATTGATGAGATATGCATATATAAAAATTACCAAAGCACCATCTTTGTCTTCTTGTTCCTTTAAAACTCTCTTTTTGGTTCTATAAAAGTTTTGGAATTCAAAAATTCGTGCATAGTCACTGGGGAGGTTTTCTTTAGGGTCCCAAGGAGAAGTTCTGAAAACAATTTGTTATATGATTTTCAACTAAAAAACATAAAAAAAAATATTTCTTACCTAAAACTTTCCAATCCCCGATACTTCTGAAATCTTACACTAGCAGGAGTATCCAAAGGAGTATCAATTTCATCAGGAAAATCCCTATCACTCTTAGCAGCTTTCAATTTTTCAAGTGCTTGCTTTTCAGCATGAATATCCAAATCTTTATCATATTTATCATCATTTACTGCCACTTCTGATTCTGCGACTGTATCAGAATCTTTATAATTGTCTTCTTCATCAGATTGTTCTTCAGACATAGCATCCATAAATTCATCTTCATCATTTTCTTCTTCTGATTCATCTAGTACAAATTCAGCATCTTCATCTGGGATCCAAGCAGCCTGGTAATCTGACCAACCCTTAGGGACTTTCTTTACTTTTTTTAACTTAAAAATGAGAATAAAATAGATCAGTTAGGAAAATGTTATAATATATAAATTTAAAAATTGTATAAACATTTTTTGTCCCTCGCCCTCTAGCTGATGTTTGTGTTTCACCCTCAAAAAAATAAATGTTTCCAATTAAACAGTTGGAATCTATGATTTTTTTACATACGAACCCAAAATTACAATTTTTTTTGATCAAATTTTAGCTAATTTTTTTACAGAAAAAATAAAAATCTCGTTTGCAATAGACCTGATTTACATTTTGTATAAAAATATTACCCCAAACGTCCTCTAAAGGGACCTAGACTAATGAGACCAGGGTTGGCAGGTTTTTTGCACCTAGGTGAAAATTCTGCAATTTTAGGTTTATTTTTAGGTTATGTAAGATAAAATATTAGGAATTCACAATTTTACTAATGAACTGTCGGCAGAAAAGGTGCAAAAATTAGTGTATATATAATAGATATTTATGAAACCAGTTAGGAAATATCTTATTTTATGAAACAAGTAACTATTTGCGGGACGAGCAGAGCGAGGTCCCATAACATAAAATAACATTTCGAAACATGAACATACAATATTTTTTTTTCTAATTTTGTCTAAAATATTTATAAAATGGTGTTTTGGTAAAAAATTACTGACATCTAGGCAACCAATATTACTACTTTCTTGTATTGTTAGTTGTATATGCATCATTTTATTGACAAATAGAACATAATACTAATTATTTATTCTCGACAACTTGTAGTGTGTATGTAGAACTTATCAGTTACTTAGGTTTCAAAAAATGTAGGTTATTTTGTCATGTATTCAAAACACAATTATTTTTTGCTGATTTAGAATGGAAAATAAGGACCAAAACATTATTACTAGGTTATAAGTTTAATCAAATCCAACCTGCCTTTCTTTGATATAAACTTTTAAGAAAAATGTATATTATTGATTTTAAACCAAAAAAAGGTTTTTTTTTTGTTTTCTTTTCGCAACTGGTGACAATGAATTTTTCGAAACCAACTGGTTGCATAAAGTAGATCATTTTGACACTTGCTGCAATCACAAAAATGTCACTTTATAGGTCAAAATTAGAAAAGAAATATTTACGCTGATAATAAGTGTCAATATTCTTAATAAAATCTCAGAAGAGATCAATACCGTAGCAGAAACAAGGTTTGTTTAGAATAAATTTAAATTAAATGCAGATAAAACAGTGTATCTACATTTCTCCACTTCTGTTTCTAAATGTAATGTAAAAAGTGTAAAATTTACTTGGCTTATATTTAGAATATTTAGATAGTACTTGATTCTGGTATTGTCACATGGATTATTCAAAGGGAAAATTTACAAGTTCACTTTTATGCACTGAGTGGGAATGTTCTGCTGGGGATTGAAATTGTATTCATTTAATGGAGGAGATTATTCTGAAAAACATAAATTCCGTTACTTGGAAAACAGTTTTTTTTCTTTTGCATTCCCACATCAGCTATGAGGATATTCGCTGGGGTAATTCATCTGGTGCCACAGATATTTTCAAACTTCAAAAGAAGGCAGAATCTTGGCCGGTGTTGGTTTTAGGGAACCTTGCCAGCCTCTGTTTATTAGATTTCGCATATTACCATTACCATCACTACACCTGATACACGTTTTAATCGAGATTCACAAAGACAGCAATTCCTTAACTAAAAAATCAACATTTTTCTCCATAAGGAAACATCATAAATAACCATTTTCGATTAATTAAGCCAGAAAAATACACTGGAATATAATCTTTATAATAAAATAAAATCCCTTAGTCTAAATAAAATCAAAAAACTACTATTAAGTTGTTTCTACTCTGTTGGTGAGTATTTAGAACACTTTTAGCAATAAGGATATCTTTAATCTACTGAAAACTCTCAGATCTCATCCAGCAAATAATATATTGTACCCATAATTTATTTTATAATCTGTTTTCCACATATAAGCTGTTTTTGTATTTTTTGTAAATTGTTAATATGTTTATAGTTTGTATATTTTTTTTATATTGTATCTTTTTATATTTTCTTTGTAATTCAAATGTAAAATAGTCAAATCTAACTATAAAACAAATGCAAACATTTTATCAAAGGTTATAACCACTTTGTCTTGATATTGATATCAATGACAATTTAAAAAAATACCATTTATTAATTTTTTACTTTTTTTGTTTGGTTGCAGAATGTAATTTGTTTAATAAAATAAAATTCTATTTTTTAAGTTTTGCTTGTATTTTTTGTACATGTCTAATTTGGCCTCTTTTCGATTATGGAAAAACTAAGCACAGATACTTGTAGGTATTGCTATTGTAAACAAAAAACCTAAGTTCCATAATCTTGTGCAAATGAATAACTAGAATAAAGATTTATAATGGTTGGCATTCTATATTATACCCTTCACAGTTTAACAGACCCACCCCCTTAATACCCCATTTTTAAACAGATTTCTTTCAGAATCAATGGGCTTCATTCTCTTATAAAGCTTGATTTTTCTTAAAGATTTTAATTTGATATCGTTTTTTGGTTCTTAGTTGGGATATTTTTCAATATTTCAACCCACCCCTTATCTCCCCATTTTAATTTACTTATTAATTCCCTTATAAGAGCTTGATTTTTAATAAACATTACATGTTGATATTACTTTTCCTGTCAACCCCCCATTAACCCCCATTTTTAAATCAGATTTTTTCAAAGTCAATATGCTTTGTCTGAGGCTTTGTCCCCTTATAGAGCTTGATTTTTGTTAAAAATTTCAAGTTGATACCTTTTTTCGTTTTTGAGTTAGGATCTTTTTTTAATATTTCTACCCCCCATAACAAACCCCTTTTTTACAGATTTTTTTCAAAATTAATAAGCTTCATCCCCTTATAAAGCTTGATTTTCCTGAAGATTTCAACCCCCTCTCCCCATTTTAATTTAATTATTCATTCCCTTATAGAACTTTATTTTTACTAAACATTTCATGGTGATATCACTTTTGGTTTTTGATTTCTATTTTTTTTTTACTCCACCCTCATTTTATTAATTTTTTTAAAATCAATAGACTTTGTCCCCTTATGAATTATTGTTCATTTTTGAGTCAATTTTTTTTTTTAATATTTCAACTCCTCTTAACCCCTCATTTGTATTCAAATCTCCTTATAGAGCTTGATTTTACTAAAAATCTCATGTTATTTCTTTTCGTTTTTGATTTGATTTTTTTTAACTTCAATCAGATTTTTTTAAACCAAATGACTTCTTCCCCTAACAAAGCTCGATTTTTGCTAAAAATTTCAAGTTGATGCCATAAAAGCTAGGGCCCCTCGATTTTCATATTTATGGGATAAAACATCCATATAACAATATCTCAACCTGAACTGTTTTAGTCCCAGGAAGAGCTGAACCCCAACTGAAAATTGTTTATAAACAATGATAAAAATATACCTTTTGTTCTTTTTCTGCCGTCTCCATCTCTTCTTCTGTGGGCCAAGTTTGTTCAGCATCCATGGGATTGGGAATGTTTTCTGAGTCAAGTGACTCCTGTTTAGTAGGATCGCATCTTTCCAAGACTCTTATTACAGCTTGATTTTCCGAATCTAGATTTTTGTCCTTACTCCTGTTAAAAAAAAACATTATGAAACACTATTTATTTACTAATGGAGACAGTCATACTTACTTATCAAACTTATGTGGGTCATTGGGTGCATCAATCTGACTCAATTGAAAGTCACCTAAACCAGGAATGTGAACCAACTGATTCACAGATAAGGCTGTTCCCCTTAAATATCCAGTAATTTTTAAAGTTCCCAAAGTACCTAAAAAAAAAAAGAACGTAAACTTAAAGCAAACAAAAAATATAAGTTATTGTTTAATACCCTCAGAGTCAGGAACATATTCTATTTCTTCTCCAAATAAATGTGGTCTATGATCTCTATACAGCACAGATTTCTGTTTCTGATTGCCAATTTTTCTTAGAACATTTACACCATCTACATTTTTATCCAAAACTAGAATTTTCTCATTAGGAAGCCATTTATTTACTATTTTTTGGATATCTTGCTTGATTTCATTTCTTTTCTTTGGTACAATACTTTCTAAATCAGTAACTACAACCAATGGAGTAGGCAAACCCTAAGTACAATAAATACAAACTTAAACAATTATTGAATCAAAATAGATACAAATGTTATATATTTTTATTTGTTTAGAGCTTCTAGTATAAAAATATCTCGATAAACAAAAACATATTTACTTGTGCAAAAGATGTAGACAAAATAGAATTTCCCCAATCATCTACAACAGCTTCACGATCTTCTATTCCAGTTGCAGCAGATAATAAAAATAAAACTGTATCTGCAACTTTTAAAGTATCTAACACTGCAAAATCGTGATCTTTATCTTGAACTACAAACTGAAACCTTTGTTTGAATCTTGGCATACTAAAATATTGAATAATAATTTACTAACCCTTGAATATGCAAATTAGACCAAACCTTATGTTAGTAACTCCAGTTGTTGTTCTTGAAACTATTGCCTCTTCATCACATTGACATAATAATGTTAGTGCAGTATTGGGGTCTATATCCTTATTGAGGGGCACTACACATATTAAAAAAGGAGCAAATTCCATACCCCCTAAAGATCTCTTTTTAGCCAGAACTTCATCTCTTTTATTTTGTCTAATTTGCACCGATTGATTACGCCTTTGTTCTCTATTAAGTTCACGTTTATTACGTTTAGAAATATTTTTTACAGATACTTTTCCTGAAAGTTTAAAATGGATAAATAAAATATATAACCTAACTTTTTATTTTACCTTTAGTTGTTACGCTAATTGACCCTTTAGAACGATGTCTGCCATGTTTATGTTCTTTATTTGATTGTTTAAAAGCCCCTGCTCGGTGAGCAATTCCTTTTTCTATGGCCATTTTTAATAAAAATTAACTAAAAAGCAAAGCATGGCAATCAACGTGACGTACAATCGAATGACGTACAGACACAATTGACAATTGACCAATGACAGTTTTGATTTGACAGTGGTGACATTTAAGAACACGTTATACAATATATATAAAAAACATTCCCCTAGTATTAATATGCCACAACATATGGGAATTTAAGTTATTAAAAAAATAACGTTGGCAACAAGTGAAATTATTCCTGCGCACTGGTCCCACCGGTTGTTTGGTTGTTTCCAAAACAGCAATCAATTTTTGTTGGGATTTAAACCTTAAACACGTGCTTTTCAAGTTGAATTATTATTGTTGTGAAATACTTTATGGGACTAAACTCAGTTTAAAATGAATATTTCTAGTGATTTAACTGAAACTGTGTTAACATTTTTAAATATCAATGAACAGTTGAAAATTGTTGAAAAGGTAAAATTCAAGTGATATCTATTGATTTAATATTTATTGCAATAATGTTTATTTTATTTAGGCATTAGGAAGAAATAAGAAGATCAAACCCACTGAAAAAAATCAGTATCTTATTAGCTATGTAGCTACAGAGCTGTTCTTGGATCCTAAACACTTTAACAGCATTTTTAATCACTTTTCGAAACATATTTCTGTACTATTGCAGAGAGTATTGTTTTCTGTTAAAAATGATAACAACAAACATAATCATATTTTAAGGACTATTTTATTGGGAAGAGTAATTAGCAAACGAAAAGATTTACAGGGGTAAGTGATACCTATTATTTTTAATAAATAAAAAAATATATTTTAAAGATCATATTATTGGAGAAAATAATTTTAAAATGCATAGATTTACATAAGTAAGTAGTATTATTTTTGTAAATAAATGTATTCATATTTTTAGGCTATTTTTATACCTTATTAAAAAATGATATGCTCCTTGTTTTTATTTAAATCAAGGTATTCTACTCTCAATTCTACTAGCTTCGAACGAAGCCAAAGCAGAGTTTTTTTTATGAAAACAACCACACTGTATTTTTGGCTTTTAAAATACTTGTTATTAAACATTTCCAAAAAAATTGCTATTTTTTTTTAAAATATACTGGGAGCTTTTCCAACTTTGAATGAAGCCAGCAGAGCACCTCAGTTTTTAATTTTTGATCTAAAAAAACCACTTCACATTTTTTTGGCTCTTGAAATGCAATAAAATTTTTAAAAATAAATGCAATTTTTAAAATATGTGGGGTGCTTTGCTAGCTCCAAACGAAGCCAGCAGAGTGCCTTGGTTTATTAAATGCTTCTTCTTAAAATAACTATGCCATATTTGTAGACTATTTTTAGGTTCTCAAAATATTAAAAAAGTTAAAAAATTCAATTTTTAGAAAAATTCTGTATCCTTTGCTTATTACGAATGAAGTCCATAGAGCACCCCGAATTTATTATGTTTTTCCCTAATAACTAAGAATAAGCAATTGCTGTTCCATGTAACTATTTTTGCAGGGTGCCAGACAGGATTGGCAGATACAGGTTTTTGTCGCCTAGTTTTATAGGTGTTTAAAAAATCTAAAAGTGAAAATTCTGCAATTTTAAGATTTTTAGGATAAATATTAAGAATGTATAATTTTATTAAATAACTCTCAGGAGAAATAGGGCCAAAATTAGTTTATATGGAAACATATGCTACTATTTTATCAAACCTTATTCCACTGTAACTTCTTGATATTGATATTAATAATTTAAATTAAAATATTAAAAAAACATTAATTTTTGTTTTGTTTGTTTACAGAATGTGATTTTTTTAAGGTAATAAAACTCTATTTTTCAAGTTTTGCTTGTATTTTTTGTTTAACTTAAAAATCATCATTGTCAAGTCAAAATCTGTGTAGGTTTTAGCAAATTTTACAGGAGGCTGATTTACAATGGGACTGACCCAACTGACATTTTCTCACATTACAGATTTTATAATCTAAAATACTATGTAATGGGTACAATTATTACAAAATTATATTATAGGAAGGTTTAACAAAGTCAAAATATGTTGTGTACAGTAATATATGTCTATTTAGTCAAAAACTAATTCATTTACAGTACATAATTTAAAAAAATACTAATACAACTAATATTGCATAAAAGTTACTACAAATTAAAAATAAATAAAACTTAGTTACATACACAAATACTAAATAAAACACTTATGTAGCCAGAAAATATTCCTTCAATCTGTACTCAAAAATATATAGAGATGCACTATCTTTTATATCGTTTGGTAGGTTGTATACATAATCATGCCTTTATTAAAAATTGAATTACATGTACTACTTTTCCTACATGTTTGTATATGAAGTTATGCCTGGATCTAGTTTCATATTTATGAATTTCAGTGTTGTAAGTTAACTTATCCTGCAGGTATACTGGAGCGTGACCGATTTTGATTTTATAATTAAAAATGAGTACGTAGTACTTAAGGAGTTTTGCTATCGGTAACCAATTTAGTGTTTCCAACTTCAAGTTTATAGGAGTGAACCTTGAACATAAAATTATGCGTAATATCTCAATTTGTGACAAAATACCACATAGCAGCTATTGACTTGACAGCAACATAATAACCTTAGAACTAAAAAATCCTTAAAAACTCAAAAACTTAAAAAACCTAAAAATCTACCTTATTATATATTTTGTTAATTCTTAAGTTTTTTCCAACTCTGGCGCCAGGTCATCGAGGTAGCATTGGCAAATGACTGTTAAATCAGTAAGTGACCATACAAAGTGACTGGTGGCTTATGGTCATTTATCCAGTCTTTTTCATTCATGGACAAAAATTGTATTTTTGAATAGGTTTACGAGCTCTTCAACAACACCAAATATATTGGGTCCTACAAGTATATTAAGATAACTTTATCCTAGTTTCCAGATATTTAATATAATATGTCTAACTTATACCATTGTTGTCTTTCAATGCTCAATAGGTTAAAAAAAATTCCAGGTTGGAATAATGAGGGTGAAGTGGTGGATATATTATTTGATCACATTCTCAGTAACTTTTGAAAATGAGTGCCAAAACTAGATCGAGGGTAATACAAAGGCTCATGAACTTGCTAATAGAGGGTCAGAAAAATACCAGAACCCGCTATAAACCTTGGAGTACCAAAAAGAACAGAATGAGGTTTCATAAATAACTGGGTTTGGAGAAAACAACAACTATTAGGAAAATGTCCCAAAACAAGCACATGGGAAAATATTTATAGGAAGACCATGTTCACAAGGAATAGCAGGCCTATTCTCCATGAATAGGAACCAGTTGAAAACAATAACAGAACTCATGACTGGGCATGCGACTGTAAAGGGACACCTGAACAGAACAAAATAGGCGTGTATAATGGAGACCTATTGTGTCGACCCTGTTACAAGGAATCAGAAACAGCCAAACACATACTGTGCAACTGCGAGGTATTGGATCGCAAAAGACAGGCACTTTTTGGACAACCACAGGTTGATCCAAGAACCTTTAGAACACACCCTGTCAAGGACTTGTACAAGGGACTAAGGTAACAAAGTGACTATGAATTAATATGGATCAGATACAATAAGCCATTAGGTTCGGTGTATCAGAAAATCAGGCAAGCCCAGGAAAAAACTATTTTTACATTTGTTACAGAGAGCAATTTTATTACAGTAAACTTTGTATTTTAAAATATTTAAAAAGAGTGTTTGTTATCGAACTCACGAGTGAAGTGAAATGTCTTAGATGAATTTGCTGTGATATAAATAGTTTATTTGATTTTTATTAATTTATTTGAATTTACCTGAATTTTTTTGAATTTATTTTTATTTATTTGGACATCGAGATATGTTGTTGTTAAGGTGTTGGGACATCAAAATATGTCTCTTCTCAAATTTTTCATAATAAGTTACACATTAAAATTTATCTTAGGAACATACATAAAATAAATAAATTAAAGCTATAATGAAATTGTTGGAAATTAATACCACATACGCTAAAGAAAGTTTATTATTGTACCGTTTGTTTAATTTATTTATAGTTTATCTATTTAAAACACACTATTTACAATTTATTTATGACGTACTAATTAATTTACCTATATAATACTTAGGCACTATTATAACTCATAATTCTAATTTATTTATTACAATTTATCTTTTCTGTCCAACACTTTATTTGAATCTCCCGCACGTCGACAACTCGCGCTATTTATATAAAGCATAAAGCCAACTCTGTACTAGAACTATCTAGGCTTTCCAGAATGATCGAAAACTGCCTTTCTATGACTCATACGCCGCACCGCGATCATTCCGGCGCTTTCGAGAAATGCCAGCGCTAGACTTCATACCGCGGGCAAGGAGTAAACAAAGCACAGGGTTGGCTTTTGCAAGACATTCTTAAAGTACCAAATTTCTAATAAAACGCATAATAAAAACAAATTACAAAAAACATAATGACAAAGAAAACGAGTACCTACTGGAAAGAAATATTCCGTGAACAATGAGAATAATAATTTATTTATTTATTCAAACAGGTACACCACAGAATTTTTATTCTAAATGGCACACAAAATTAAAATAACTATATGTCAAATCAACCAACTCGGGTCACAAAAATAACATTAGAAAAAAACAAGAAAAGCATACATATTAAAACAAAACAATTAATTTATATAGAAACATAACTAAAGCATGCATTCTTCTGGTTTCTAGGTTTTGCATACCACATAAATGTAGCCTACTTTCGTTTTGATAAGGAAAGTGGTGTTTAAACAACAAATAGTTAAAATTTACGTTTAACTCTTTCTATCCTCTCTATGTGGCTGGTATAGTTAGGATGCGATACGATTCAAGAATGCTTTTAACAAGGCTGTTATATAATGTTAAGATTGCTTTAGTATCATATATAGTTGGGTATTTCTTTTAATAAAGCCTAGCACCCGGAAAGCTTTACAAATAATGGAATCAATGTATTCTCATAAGGACAATTCCATATCAAAGATCACCCCTAGATCATTCACTGATGTGACGTTTTTCAGCACAGTATCATCAATTTTGTATCGGTTTAGACAAGGGGTTAAAGCTTTAGCGATCTGGATGGTTTTGCATTTACCGGTATTTAATGAGAGATGGTTCACCTTGCACCACTCATTTAATCTCTCTAGATCTCCTTGTTATGTGTGATTATGCTGAAAAATCGGCATGTAGAAGACAAGTACTGTTTAAAAAGCAGGAAGTTACGCTGTTAATAAAAAGTGAGAAAAGGACAGGACCAAGGCGTGAGCCTTGCGAAACGCCTGATGAAACTGATACTTCCTGAGATGTAGAATTATGAATTGAGAAGTAAAAACTTCAAAAAAGTATACTTAAAGTTGAGGCAAAAATTACTGGAGTGGGAAGCATGGAATTTGTGACGTCGACAGTATTGTAGCAAGATTGGAAGTGATGTGCAAATGCGTTAGCTATTTAATTAGGATTAGCAAGCTAACGTTGTTGTATACCATTAGATTCCTTATAAATAACCAGAAATGCTTAATCTTGTGAGGAAAAAGATTGTGTGTCTCGGTAATGAATGTCAAGTAATTCAATTCAATGTGATATTTAATTTCGCGTCACTTTTTGGAATATAAAATGTAATCAGAATCCCATTGAGTTCTCTTAAAAGTTTTATAAAGCTTATTTTTTTTCGGTCATAAGTTTGCGAATTCTTCTTTTAGGCATGTACAGATTAATATCTTCATATATGATTTGTTCAACTATTTTGTGAATATTATCTGAATCGTTGATTAAAGACCAGTCAATCTTATTAAAGAAATTATTTAGAGCTATAAAATTAGCTTTGTGAAATTGACAATTTTGTTGTCGCGGAGAATTAGAGCTTTTTTTTAATAAAGTTTGTATTTCTAGAGGGCGATGCAAAGGGTCCACCTTGGATAGAAAAAAATCTTATTTGACAGATTCAAACTCACTTTCAAATTAAGAATACGTTTATCAGCATCTGTATGAGATCAAATCAAGAAGATATACAGATAATGTATTATATTTTCACCATCACTTAACTACCTACTGACTTAGAAAACCAATTCAATTTAGCTTATTTTTTAAAAATGTGTGGTAGTTTTTAGAAAAAAAATACGTAAAAAGGCAGAGGTGTTCTGGCTTCGTACTTGGCTAGCAAAGCACTTCGTTCTATAATATTTCAAGCCATCATAGATATCACTTTGATTTTTGTAAAAAAAGAAGAACATAAAATTTTTGAACAGGGCATAAAAATACTCTTAAAACAGCCTAAAAATATGGCATAGATTTCAACTCAAGATTTCCTAGGTGCTCTGTTGCCTTTGGCCTTTATATGAAATGATAGATTTAAATTACTTTATTTTGTAGATTTGGATTAAAATATTTCTCTCAATCACCATCTGTATTTGAATGTCTTGAAATTGGTGAAAGTTCACTAAAAAAGTCAAAAATGGAGAACATCTTTTATAGTGATCTACAATTTGTTGAAGCATGTTATCATTTGTTAAAGAACAATCCAGATTTTTACAGAAATAAATGGAACTGGTCCATTTTTCTACAAAGATATTTTGAACATGAGGATAACAGAATCAAATGGTAATTAATTTCAGAAATACACCACAACAATTGTTCCTGTCTTTTTGTATTTACAAATAAATAGGTATTTAAAATAATTACATACATAATACCTACTTTTTGTTTCAGGATTTCATGTCAAATTTTTTCTATTCTTTTTGGAATAAATGAGAGACAAATTAATAAAATAATTTTAAATATGATGACTAGAGAATTACATACAAAATTCACTTGTATTTTTAATTTACAAGAAACTCTTGATGAAAATATTGCCCCGACATTAGATTCTAATCCAGTTTTTAGTATTCCTGATAAAACCACTGAAGACCTTATTAATTTTTCTGGAATATCTATACCAGTATTATCAAGAAATTCAAATATAAAAACCAATTTGGTTGAGGTTCCTTCTACAATTAGTAATTTAAGCAAAATTGCTTTGGGACTTACATTAAACAAAGCCATTTGTCTACAAGGTCCTGTTGGTTCAGGTAAACATCCGTTTTTTATTTTATTCCTAATATGAGCTGATTATATGATCTATTGATTAGGTAAAACAACACTTGTGGAATATTTTGCTGAAAAAACTGGCAGAAATTTGGGTGAGAATTTCATAAAAGTGCAGTTAGGTGATCAAACAGATAGTAAAATGTTACTGGGTACCTACAGATGTACTGATGTGCCCGGGGAATTTGTATGGCAACCAGGAGTTTTGACACAGGTAATATTTTCCCTTTTGCACATAATCTTGTTCTATTTTTTTTTTCCATTTTTCTAGGCTATTCTTGAAGGGAACTGGCTTCTCTTAGAAGATATTGATTCTGCTAGTATGGATATTGCTTCACTATTGACCAGTCTATTAGAAAATAATTCTTTGGCAGTACCTGGTTACAGAGATTCTGTTTCAATAATTCCCGGTTTTCAGCTGTTTGTAACTCACAGGTACATTTTTCTTGTCTATTATAACTTTCTTAGCTAATATTTATCATATAAATATTATACATTTTTCTTTGGAGGAAATATTAAACTAACCATTATGTATTTTTTTCCTGTTTTAAAAAGCATTATTGATTATTGACAAAGGTTGTTTTTTCTGTATATTTTAATGTTAATGATAAATGTTGCCACTACTCCTAGACGCAAAATATCCTTTTTTGAGACAGCAAAACCCATAGATCCTAAAGTTAAAACATTTATTTGTAGTATTTTTTTTGTTTTTCTTAAACACTGGGTACAGGGTGGCCCGACGAAAACTTATCAGAGCCATTGTCAGAAACTGCATTATCATTTTCTACCATCTCCTCAACGGTTATACATCATTTCACTCCCCTCTATCTCTCTAAACAATACACAATTTAAATAGGGAAAAAGTAAGTTTGTGAACAATTCAGCAATATGACCATTGCGTTGCTTTTGATTTTAGCGCCCTTCAACGAGATAAAAACTGTGACGCATTGTCAAGTATGACACCTTATTTGAAAGCTAATTTTATTAATAATTTAATGCACACCATAAAAACACAAAGTTGAATTAAATAATTAACAAAAATAACAACTTTATGCTTCTCTTTAAATTACTAATAAAACTAGCTTTCATATTAAATGTCCCACTTTATAATAAGTAAGTTTTTTATCTCGCTAGAGGGCGTTAAAATCAATGAAATAAATAGTCATATTGCTAAATTTTTCATAGAAGTACCTTTTTAATGATATGTACTTTGGTACTTTCCCAATTTAAATTGAATTGGTTTGGTTTCAATGATATGTCATACTTGGTATTTTCCCAATTTAATTTGAATTGGTTAGGGTGACAGAGATTAATGAAATAATGTACGACAGTTGAAGATATAGTCCATATTTAATCAAAAATTGACTGGTCTGAGAGTTTGTTTAAATTGTAAGGCTACCCTGTACAAATTTTCTTGAAATTCTGACTTTAATAGGAACATAGTTAATAATACAAATATCGATTTTTATGTACTAATAAATTATGTACACGTATCTATTATTATTTTAACTTTTACAGATTTGTTTCAACCATCACTGGTCATCATAAAAAACACTCAAATTCCATGTCCCTATTAGATAAATATCTTCTACAAATAAACATCGACCCCTTAACCAATGATGAACTAAAACAAATTATAAATACAAAATATTCAGAGTTTCAGACCATATCTGATCGTTTAGTCAGCGCATTCTTACTTTTCAACCAAGATATGTCTGATCACACTAAAATTACTATACCAAAAAGTGGTCGTCAAATATCAACTCGTGATTTTTTTAAATGGTGTGCTAGAGCTATAATAGATTTTGACATAAAAAGTCAAGCTAGTGCTCTAAAAGTCCTTCAAGACGCTATAGATGTTTTCTGCTGTCCATACTCCAACCAGGAAGATGCATTAGAGCTTGCCAGAAAAATCAGTACTCATCTAGGTATTATTAACCACAAAGCAGATTATTTTTTTAAAGATTACAAACCTAGTATGCAATTAACACCAGAACATTTAGTGGCAGGTCGGGTAGTTCTGACTAGAAATAACAATGAATTTATGAGACATGTTAGATATTCTTTTACAAGGCCATCTTCAGTGCTACTAGAAAGAATTATGTGTTGTATACAATTGCAGGAACCTGTATTATTAGTAGGTGAAACAGGTACAGGAAAGACATCTTGTGTTCAATACCTAGCTCATACTATCGGCCAAAAATTAGTGGTTATCAATATGAATCAGCAGTCCGATTCTGCAGATCTACTAGGTGGATTTAAACCAGTCGACTCAAAATATATAATATCGCCTGTAAGAAAAGAATTTGAGCAAATATTTTGCGACTTCTTCAAAGTAGAGCCCAACAAAAAGTACCTCGCCAACTTAGCGCTATGCTTTAACAACCAGAGATGGACTGACTTGATAAAATTAATGACAGTGAGTTTTGAAGCTGCCGAGAAAAGACTGATAAAGTCTTTGGAAGATTTTGAAAAGTTGAAAGGCAGTAAAGATGAAGAAAAAATTAATAAATATAATAGAGAGAAGGTGTATTTAGAAAAATGGAGAACAGTAGGGGTAAAATTGAGAAAATTGGAAGTACAATTGAAGCACACCAATGCTATGGCTTTTGCTTTTATAGAGGGCAGTTTAGTAAAAGCTGTTGAGAAGGGATACTGGGTATTATTAGATGAAATTAATTTGGCTAATGCAGAAACTTTAGAATGTTTATCAGGATTATTAGAAGGTTCTCAAGGTTCTCTATGTTTATTGGAGAGGGGTGATAAAACGCCAGTAAAAAGGCACCCTAACTTTACCTTATTTGCTTGTATGAACCCCTCTACAGATGTTGGAAAGAAAGATCTACCACCAGGTCTTAGGAATCGTTTTACAGAATTTTTCGTTGATGAACTAAATGAAAAGAATGATCTTCTACTTTTGGTTAACAATTATTTAGAAGCAATGTCTATTAAACAAAAAGATCTGGAAAATATAGTTAATTTCTATTTAAAAGTTAGAAAAGAAACTATTATGAGTTTATCAGACGGTCTTGGACATAAGCCTCACTATTCTTTAAGATCTTTATGCAGAGCTTTATTTATTGCATCTAAAAATCCCTGTGGCATGTTTAAAAGGAGTTTGTATGAAGCATTTTGCCTCGGTTTTTTGACCCAATTGGATAGTCATTCGTATCAGGTTGTTGAAAAATTGATATTAAGGTAAGAAAAAGTATATTATGATACAAATAAATCACTTAATAAATATTTTTTTAGTCAATTGATTGGTGATGCTAAAGCTGTAAAGGCTGTTCTGAATCAACCAATACCTAAGCCCGAAAATAGTGAAGAATATCTACCATTTGAGGGTTATTGGGTCAAAAAAGGACAGCTGGAACCATCTGTACTAGAGGATTATATACTTACAGTATCTGTTAGAAGGAATTTAAAAGATTTAGTGAGAGTGGTATCTATTGGAAGACTGCCAGTTCTCTTGCAGGTATTTATACTGGATATCACAGTAGCTTAAAAAATATAATAATAATTACTATTTTACCAAAAATAACTTTATAGAATTGATAAAATATTTATGTTAAAAAAAAAACAAATATTTTATGAACGACAATAAAATTCTCTAAATCAGTACCACAAAAATATTCTATTTTTTTTTTAATAAATGGAGCCTATCAGTTTCGGCCCGAGGACTATCATCAGGTCCTAAAAAAGAAACATAGTGGTACAAAGATTAGTGGCACAGAACAATAAATAAACACAAACTTCTGTGTCATTGGCCAGAGAACAGTAAAGAAGCATGAATATTAACAATTAGCACATCTAATAGAAAGTGAAATATTAAAATTTTTAATATTGCCATAAGAAAACTAACTAAAACTATAAAATTGGTCAAAAGAGACACATTTGTCTTCCTACATCAGAAATCTTTAAGGATAGTCAAAAACGTAAAAGGGAACAGGAATGAGGGATAAATAAGAACTCTTCTATTCTTTACCGTCCCTTTTAAGTTTTTTCCAACTCTTTGAAGGTCTCTGACTTTGGGAGACAAATGTTCCCCGACTTTGGGAGACAAATATTCCCTTTCCAACCAATTTTATAGTTATAATTATATTTGATCAAAATATTGGAGAAGTTGATTCATATGCGTGATCAATATTTTTGTTTCTGAATGAAAATTCTGACGAAAAGTCACAGAGTCAACATAGACGGCGCGCAGCGTATCAAATATCAAAGAATTATTTATTCATTATTTATTATTTGTTACCAAAATTTATTAAAATGCTTTGTCAAAATCTTTATTTAAACACAGAGAATGCGTTAAATATACATAGTCAACATAGCCTAATAGGATTATTTACTTTGGCAATTGTCTCTAATATGAAAAATAGTCCCCCCAGTCTTAAAGCTATTCGTTTATTTTTAATGAAAGAAAAAATAAGGACAGGTTAAATTTGTGTTTCGAAGACACTTTTCCAATATTTGATACAGCTTTTTTTAATAATTTTAAGAAAATCTTTCTAAAAACCAAAATTTTGCGATTTTTAATAAAATTTTGGAAAAGTGACTAGGAACACATCCATTACCAACACGTATATATTTTTTATTTCATTAAAAATAAACTTTAAAAATGTAGAATTGCCAAAAGTTTGTATGGCTATATTTCGAGTAAACTGCCTTTAAATAAAACATTAAAGCTGCTTTTATATTAGGAAGAGTGTGTTAACTAATAATTTAAAAATCAGTGATATAAAAATAAAAAAAAATTATTTCATCTTCGTTCTTAGCAATTTCGTTGATCGTTACATTCATAATAGATAGACAAAAAAGTCCTTCAAAGTGTGGATCACTTACAAGAGTCAAAAACGCCAAATCAATTAAAAAAAGTTTTAACTCTACAATAGAGAGTAAAATTTTGTAAAATGATAGCCTAATATTTGGAGGCGATGACAAACGGATGGATGTCTTTCAAGTAAACAAACAACAGGCGGGTTTTGGATTGAAATTGTCAGCACACGCACAAAGACAGTTGAAAACTAAAATTCGAAGAAGTTACGATAATTATTTTGTAAACTACATTTTTGTATAAGTATTGTCTGATATAGTTAGTTTATAATTGTGCCTTACAATTTGGTATCGCGTTAGTGAATATTCGAGTTTTATTTATTGTATACTATACTAGGTACATTAAAAGTTTATTAAATAGTTGGACATTAAAATATTTTTAAAAATAATAGTAAAATATTGGTAAGTCTTTTTATAAATTCAATGAAAACAATTGTAATAGGAGAATTCTATTATTACAATAGTGTCGTGTGAGCCATTTTCGACCAGTACCGCATAATATAATCCCTTAAGTCCCTCTCAAAAATATTCATTGAATATTTAATATAGCATGTCACCTCTGAAACTCCTTTCTTATACGCCTAGAGGGGCCGAAGAAGGCGGCCGGCATATAAAGATTGTGAAGCGAACGCTGTAGAACGCTAGAAGTGTTACGAGAACTCATCTAGTACGTTCGAAAAATACCTAATATTCTTCGAGAAGAGAAATTTTTATATAGACTAATCTTTGCCGTTTAAGATAGTTTAAAAATAAATATTGTTGATTAAAAATAAATTAGTTATAAAATAAGTTAGCGTATTTAGTGATAATAAATTAGAATAATTAAACTGATTAAAATAAATAAACGTAACACTAGTTATGGATTCAGAGGCGGGCCCATGAGGAATTCCATTTACGAAGGCGAAAGCCAGTATCAAGAGATGAAAAGAACATTGTACGGAAAGTGTGTGATGGGCTTAAACATACACTTCCTACAAATTAAGCTGTAGATCGTTGTTTTTAAACTGGAATATCTATCTTTTTCAACAGTTGAATGCGTTGTACAAATACAGGCTCCTTACGAGCTCCTAAAACGCATACCAATGGTTAAAAGCAGCTGAAATTCTACGATAACAAAAAAAAATACGAAGAACTGGTACATTCTTTTCGTTTTTTTCGAAAATAAAGCACCCTCCCTTGAAGCTGTTGCGAAATTAAGAAAAAACGAGGACATTACAAACTTCAATGAGCCATGAAACTTTACGAAAAATTGTATGGGGCCTGAAGTTTTATTTTCTCAAACGGTGTAGGAAATCCATTTTAATTGTGAGGTCAGCTATAGTGACCTAGCGACGGCGTTATTTACGAAGTATTAAAGAGTGTAGAGCCATATACGATGTCTAAATATGGCAAGATACTTCTGCAACGAGTCATGCCAAGCTTTTTTGGAGGGATTATTTACAGGTTTGAAAGCACCATCGGGTAAAGGACAGCGCCTAATTGTTATCTATATCGGGAGTGACAGTAGCTCTTTGGAAAATAGCGCTATAACAGGATACTTACTACCACGAAAACTAGAATGCGAAATACTTTGAAAAGTGGTTTAGATTAAATTAGGAGTTGCACGTTATTTGTCCTTGTCCACCGCGAACTTTTCAGATCTATTGTGGGACTCCGTTAGTTTTAGAGTATGTCGTCTAGCCTGGTCTTTTTTATTAGACTTAGTAGCTTTGACAGTGGCTCCCGCATGTAGTTGCATGCAATTGGCTTTTCTTCGCCCAATGTTAGAAACCTCATTCCAGCCAGGCCTTCACATTGGCACAGGACGTGTAATGTTTCCTCTTCTTCTTCACAGAACCTGCACAAAGTTTCTTCTTATGCTGGATTTATGACACTCATATGCCTTTTGAGGCGACAGTGTCCAGTAAGAAGGCCTACTGTTATCCTTACGATTTGACGCTTTTGATCCAGTAGGTCTTTCGTGAACTTGGCCGATGGTTCCTTGATGAACTGTTTGGCCTGTCTCAGTCTTGGATAGTTGTTCCACGATTCCTGAGACTCTTTTTACATCCATTGTTTAATGGATGCCTTGCACAATGCCTTAGCAACTCCACAGAAGGGTTCTGGGACTGTCATCTGAGCCTTCTCGGGCTAATTCGTCGGCCTTTTCGTTGCCCTGATATCCCTCATGGCCTGGAACCCAGGCTAGGGTCACCTTATTTTGACTACTTAACTCTATCAGGTCTTCTAGACAGTCTTTCACTAGTCGTGATTTGATTTCTGGTGAGAGAATTGCCTTTAAAGCTGCTTGGCTATCAGAGTATATGGCAATAGTTTTGCCTGATACTTTCTGATTTAATAATGTGGTTTAATAAAAGTGGTTTACTGAAGTAGTACAACGTGTAGAACCAAATTCAGTTATTGGACTAGATAACGCTTCTTATCACAGCTGACGAGTTGAACGCATCTTTACCATGTAAAGCGGATATGCAAAGCTGGCTTCGGAATAAAACAATAACATTTACTGAGAACATGCCTAAAGTGGAATTAATCACCGCCATAAATATATTCAATATGTTGTCGACACAATGGCCCGTGATCGTGGTTTTATAGTACTAAGGCTTCCCCCTTATCACTGCGAATTCAATCCTATTGAACTAATTTGGGAGCAAGTAAAAGAGTTTGTGGCTCGAGAAAATAATACATTTAAAATAGCCGACGTTTATTAAAAACCGATATAGAACGTAGAAAACCTGAAAATTGGCAGAATGCCATTTCCCACGCAATTAAGGAAGAAATTAATATGTGGAGCTCGAAAGGTCTGATTGAAATGGTAGTGGAACCTTTAGTCATAACTTTAAATTCAGACGATAAAGACGATTTCAGTGATAGTTTTGCAGAATCAATGGATAACGATTCTTTATAATTTCAGAAGTGAGAGCTTAATTTACAGATTTTCACATTAAATTAAATAATACTTAAATTTTTAAGTAAAGTTGCATGTTTTATTTTCTTTTTTAATTTAAACTTTTAATATCATTTTATGGTTTTCTTTTTTAAATATTATAATATCTAATGCTGTTTGACGTTCTCATGTATTCGAATATTGTATTCTTTTTTTTTTTGTAAAATGGTATATCTGTTAAATAAATTATAAATAGATTATTTTAATAAAAATAGATAACCAACCTACTTTTGTCTATTAATATTCACCAATACCCCATTTAAATGTTTAATTTACCAATGCAATGTTTCTACGTCACTGGAAGAATAGATTTTGGCAATGAACATGTATGGATGACTAGTATGGCGCGTGATACTGTAGTCATATAGCGCATGATACCCATGTGATACTATTCATAATTCACCGGTATAGTACGATGATTGTTTGTGATCAGGGATGAATCACCTTATCCAATATATTGTTCGAGTATAGTACCTGTTTTATATTGTAATAATAAAGATTTTTAGTTTTTACTTACTTTTTGAAAAGCTAATTTTTACTATTCTATTAATTTACTGTTCTCTGACCGATTATTTAGTAATTTACGTTTATTTGATGTTCCATCAATTTTTGTACCACTATGATACTCTTTGTTAAGGTCTGATGATGGCCCAAACCGATTTAGACTATTTTATTTGGGCTTTAAATATTATCTTACTTTTACAAGTTAACTAAATAAATTAAGATATTTTAGCATAAATATTTTTTAAAACTAATGTTTATAATTGTCAATTATTAACTAAATTGATAGTCTATCAGCTTACTATAAAAAGTGACATGTCGTTCTATATCTGGCTGTAGGAGGGATGAACAAGTTTTAATGTGTCACTGTGGTGAGAGCGGTCGTTTAAGAAAAGTTTAAAAAATTGAATCGGTGTGGTACGCTGTATTGGAGGGTTAAATATATCTTCTATGTCAGTCTGTTGAAAATAATGGTGGATCTAATTTTGTTACCTTTTTTACATCTCTTCAACCGTTCTCGTCATTTACTATCTCAGTCTGTGTTTTTTTGTGTCATTTTATAACTCTCCCACTTCTTCGTAAACATTCTCCTCCTCCTTCGTAAACCTCCTCCTCCTCCTCCTTCGTAAACCTCCTTCTCCTCCTTCGTAAACCTCCTCATCCTCCTTCGTAAACCTCCTCCTTCGTAAACCTCCCGAACTTGGTAAATAATCACTGTACTTTATAAAATCATCTGAATCTTCAAAAAATTCTTCTTCAGATATTTTCAGAGTTTGAGCCCTTGCCAAAGCTACTAATCGTTCGCCTCTCCTAGCCATTAATAACACAACCATCACTTCTCTTTACAAGCACACAAACGTAACTGGCCGCCAGTGCTATTAGTAGTTTTAATAATAATGTCCAGAAACCGCTTCAAAGAAATAGACTAGAGTGGAAATTATCTTTCAACACTTGCGCACACACTTGCGTTACGGTCGGCTGTTTCAATATCTCATCTACCTGAAAAACATACGGGACAATTTGACCCCGTACCGCTCTACGAAAGGAATTTGTTGTATGGAGCGGTACAGAGTCAATGTGTCCCGTATGTTTTTTGCGTAAATAATAATTTACAGAAAAATATAAGCACATTGGTATAAATAAAATTTTTATATCTTAAATAATACGAAAACTAGAGGCTTCGCCCCATGGGAAGGTGTAGCGAATATGATACCGCACCGTGTTTAAACACAAAACGGGACATATATGCTCCGTACCGCAGCGAAAGTGTTAACATTTTCAAGTAAGAGTATTACCCTTGTGGACATTTTTTCTGTGGTGTTATCCTATTTATCATGACATTTTCTGCATATTAACGTTTTAGCCGGCACAAAGGAATGCCCCCAATATCATCTTGAATCTAGAAAAACCGCATTGAAGCTATATCGCGAATTTAGTTGATAAAAGATATCCGCTCACGAGGCCGGAATCCCTATACTGAAAGGGAATTCATGTATTGTTCTCGATATCTGGAAGCATATATTTCATTGCGAATGCAAAAAAAAAAACAAAAAGCGATCGATCCTCAACTTTACTTTAAATTTCACAGGTCACATGACCGCCCCCACCGCCGGGATATAGTATAACTTATAAAAGCGAAGTACCACTTTTGCAGTCAGCTGAAGAACTATTAATTTCGTTGGACAATTTATTATACCTATTAAAAAACAATGGATAATCAGAATGTAATTTTTATTTTTCCAAAAAACAATATCTTTGGCATTAAGAGATCCACATTATTTCGTAAATAACTATTTTAGGGTGATACTTCTGTGGGTAAAACAAGTCTTATAACCTTCCTGGCAAAAGCTAGCGGCAATAAATGCGTTCGTATTAATAATCATGAACATACAGATTTACAAGAATATGTAGGTTCTTATGTAGCAGACTGTGACGGAAAATTAGTCTTTAGAGAAGGATTACTTGTTGAAGCAATGAGGAAAGGGCATTGGATTATCTTAGATGAACTAAATTTGGCTCCAACTGATGTATTAGAAGCTCTTAACAGAGTATTAGATGATAATAGAGAGCTATTTATTCCCGAAACACAGGAAACCGTCAAAGCTGATCCGAATTTCATGTTATTTGCAACTCAGAATCCTCCTGGAGCATATGGAGGTAGAAAAATGTTGTCTAGGGCCTTTAGAAACAGGTAAAAACAATCCAAATCAGTGGAGGATTACTTCAATACCAATATATTTATTTTATTTTAGATTTGTGGAGCTCCATTTCAATGAAATACCCCCTAAGGAACTAGAATTTATCCTTCATCAGAGATGTCAGATGGCGCCCAGTTATGCTAAAAAGATGATAAATGTCATGACAGAGTTACAGGTAAAAATATACACTACAAATTCTTTAACTATAACTATAACATTTCTATAATGACAATATTTGTTTTATGCAGATGAGAAGAAGGGGTTCAGCAGCTTTTGCAGGAAAACAAGGATTTATAACTTTAAGAGATCTTTTTAGATGGGGAGAAAGATACAGGTTAGCTCAAAATTCTAAGAAATTATATGACTGGGATCAACATTTAGCTGACGAAGGTTATCTTGTATTAGCTGGAAAAGTTAGAAAATTCGAAGAAAAATACGAAATAATTGACGTGTTACAGAAACATCTGAAAAGAGAAGTTGATCCTGATAATCTTTTTACTTGTAAGTTTTTATCATAATAAAAATATTACTAAATAATAATAATAATCTATTTTTCAAAATACATTGATAATTAATGGTTTATTCCCAAATTTTTAGTATCCGAAAGAACGTCAACTGTTACTCGTCACATTTTGAAAAAAATGAATGAAACTAAAGCCAACCACAAAAATATTGTTTGGACATATAGCATGCGTCAATTAATTGTTATGGTGTCCAAAGCTTTGGAATTTAAAGAACCAGTATTACTGGTTGGTGAAACTGGTGGGGGTAAAACAACTGTTTGCAAATTGATAGCAGAAAATAACGGACAAAAGTTAGTAACTGTCAATTGTCATATGCACACTGAAAGCAGCGATTTCATTGGAGGTTTAAGGCCTATTAGAGATCATTCGGTAAGTTAATAAATAGTAATTTATTATACAGAGTGTTATGGAAATACATGTTGTGACGAAGTCACTAAATTTTTCAATAATTTAATTCTAAAATGTTTAGTTTAAATTAATTTCCGCCTGATAATGTTCTGAAGAGCTCCCGTATTTTTTATTTTGTAAAATTTCCTTTTTTGAACATTTACGAGATCCCACGTATTTAAAAATATTTCAATATTTGCTGAAATTCGAATCCAGCTTTAAACTTCAAGTTCAGCTAATTTAATTTGGCCATCAAAAACATGAACACCACTAAATAACAATAAAATATTAGATTTTTTGAAAAATTAATGTACGAACCAGTGGTGTTTTTTATTTGCATAATTTTTTATATGGAAAGTAATTCTTTCAATATATGGCAACTCTGTTCCCAAGTAGCATTAGAGTGACAGAAACTTATATCGCCACTTCGATTAAGTGACTATTATGTTATAATCACTAAATGTGCCCCTATATAGTGAGAATAACTTCATTTTATATTTTCCCAGTTGTAGCCACGTGTATTTCACCACTTGGAATCACTTCAAAGTTTTATATTATTTAGTGGCCTCAGAAGGTGTTTGAAACGTTATAGCCACTAAGCGGGACCATTTTAAAGTTGCACAAATTTGAATGTGGAAAATAGTAGTTACGGCCACCAAATCATATCCACTTAAATACCACCTAGAAGTGGCAGTAAAGTGGGTTTGATAGTTTTAGTAACGTTTCGGGACCCATAAATATATCTTTAAAGTGGCGGCACTTGATTGTATAACTGCAGTAGTTCTTGCCACGTTCTTGCCACGTTTTTGCCACGCTCTTAAGTGATTTACACATATTGCGTGGAACAAAAGCCACTTCAAAGTTACTATTACCTTCAAAATTCACAATGAAGTAACCGTTACCTATTAGTGGTCTGCTTTCTACATTGTCCGCCTTTACAATAAAGAAAAAACTACCAAAGTGTCGTCGATCTGTGCGCAAATTACTTTGTTTTTAGACTTATCTAGAAGTGCATTTGTGTGTAAAATGAGAAACAACAAGAAGCCTCGCAAATAGATTACTTTTCGACATTCGACAACTTTTTATAGACAACTTAAACAACAAATGAATGGTACCAAAACTCTTAAACGTTATTACTCTGTAGTGAACAAGCGGCTTTTGTCGGAACAGAAAAAATGTAAAAATTCTCAAGAGTTGTTTTCTTCATCAGTACAAGTGAACAGTGAACCTCTTTTCTTTAAATGGCCTGGCCAAAATAAGGTTCCTTCGTTTTCCCACATGTCGGGAACAACGCAGAAACAAACACCTCTCTTTTCTTGAGTCGATACAATTTTAAAACTCATATCTAAATCTAAGGTGTGCACACAAACACAATATAAAACATTAAATACATAAATTTAAGTTATCTGTGACATAAACAAATTTAACTGGCGAAATCTACTGTAAATTTTGAGGTTATATGGAATAATACAACTAATACTGTGTTGCGATATCATCAGAGCGCAATTTCCCTGAGAAGATATAGTATACAAATTTTTCCCATAATCTTCTTGAATGTACACAATATTTGTACAGGGTGTTCAGTTATTTTTAGAACGGCACTTAAAACGTTTATTAAAAGAGATAAAATAAATGGTTAAATACATAAGTTATAAGGCCTTACTAGAAATAACTATTAAGTTAAACAAACGGTAACCAGAAAGGTAACTAACTAACAAGTATCAACTTTGTGAATTAAAATGAGAATCCTATATATTTTTTACTATGGCGATTCCAAATTGTTTTAAATTTACATTACCTTGATCTAGGTTGATGGATGACATATTTGTAATTTAAGGTAAATTTGATTTTCCCCCCTGACATTGGCCTTATTGAACAACTCAAAAACTCTGAAAATAAGTGGAGAAATGGCTGATCTGGCAACAATGTAAATAATTAACTTTATGGTGGCAAACACTAGGTGGCTGCCATGTAATCGCCACTTTGAAGTGGTGAAAAATATTTTGGATTAATTCCAGCTGCCACTTATTTGATGAAAGTAACTACAAAGTGGCATATTTTTAGTTTATGCAACTGTAAATTTTTTTTCCTGAAGCAGACATATTTGAAACCATTTTTAAGATCTCCATTATGAGAAAATATAAAGGTGCTATTCAAAAAAATTTTTTTCGTCCGTATGGCTTCAATGCAATAAAATTCAAATATATTTAATGATTTTAATTAACCAAGATTGATAAAAAATAGTGTTTAAATCATCTAAATAAATAATTTCGAAGATGAAAAATTTACAGATTTTAACTTTTTTAATTAAATATAGAGTATTCCAATGGCTCGTGCCCATATTTCGAGTTACAACACCTATATTTGACAGTAAACTCCCAATCGTTCCAACTTTTTGCCTATCAGAATTCCTGAATCAATATTTTTTTAACAAATATCAATCAAAAGACAAGGACAGTAAGCAAAGTTCAGCGTTTAGTGTCGGCCACCGTGCCGCCACGTTATCGCAACGTTTTCGCCACGTTTTTGCCACGTGGCGTAAACGTGATTATATAAGTTCCGGAAACGTGGCTGGAACGTGGTTGCCACCAAGAAAGTGTTCTCCATTTTGGTTACCGCCACGTGGTAGAACCGTGTCTATTACGTGGCAGAAACTTTGGCAACACACTTTAAAAATTCTAAAGTCGTGGTAGCCACGTTCCGCCCACGAAAAATGCTACTTGGGTTACACATTCCTGAAATGTTTCCAATGTCTATAATTAACGTAACATAGTATAGTCACTTTTAACATATTTCAATAACACTCTTTTTTACAACCAGGGGCGTACAATGTAGATAAGAAACACTTTTATACCCTTAAAATATATGCCACTAAAAAAAATATTTGTATTCGATTTTTCAAATAGAGTGAGGATTCTACCAAATTATTCCAATGGGTAGATGGACCCCTTATCGAATCGATGTTACAAGGACACGTATTTCTGGCTGACGAAATCTCTTTAGCAGACGATAGTGTATTAGAAAGACTCAATTCTTTACTAGGTAAGATATTCAGTGAAACAAAAAAAAATATATAAAATTATTATGAATGATGTCTTTTAGAACCCGAAAGGAGCTTGTTATTGGCCGAAAAAGGAATAGACTTTAATAACACCCAAAATTCGGAATTAATTGTGGCCAATGATAACTTCTTTTTTATTGGTACCATGAATCCCGGTGGAGATTTTGGAAAAAAAGAGTTGTCTCCCGCACTTAGGAATCGTTTTACTGAGATCTGGTGCGAATCTTGTAAAAATCGCCAGGATTTAGTTGATATTATTGAACAAAATATCAAATCCGGTATATCCATGGGCAATCAACAAGATGGATCGAGCGGTGTTGGCAGTGCTATTATGGACTTTATAGATTGGTTTGAAAATACTGAAGTTGGAAAAAGGTAAATAACCCAATATGCATAAACTAGTAATTTTTAAAATATTAATACATTTTTAATTTTATCATTTATTGTATATTTTTGTTTCTTTATTTTTTTATAGGTTTACAGTCAGCATTCGTGACATATTAACATGGGTCAACTTTTTAAATAATTGTTCTGATAAAATGGACATAGCAGAAGCATATGTTCACGGAGCTTATCTAACATTTTTGGATAGTTTGGGTTCAGGAATTACAAGTACAGAAAGGTATTAACGCGTAAAAAAGCCATTGATAAATTAATAATATCAATTTTATTTCTAGCTTAAAAACTTTGGAGTCAATCAAAAATAAATGTGCCCAGTTCCTTTCCAATCAAGTGGTTCATTTGGGCTTACAAACAAATATACTGGATGTAAACAACTTAAAAATTGACACTAACGATAAAAAGTTTGGTATAAAACCTTTTTATATAGAAACAAATCCAGACGGTATTGCTAAAACCGGTTTCAGTTTCAATGCCCCGACTACATTCTATAATACACTCAGACTTTTGAGGGGAATGCAATTGAATAAAGCAATTTTGCTTGAAGGTAGTCCAGGTGTCGGTAAAACCAGTTTGGTCACGGCCTTGGCTAAGTTTACGGGACATAAATTGTTTAGGATTAACCTTTCAGATCAAACAGTGAGTAACAATATTTAATTATTAACTTCTTAAGTGGAGGGAGCAAGTATACTCGCGCCCGCTACTCAACACCGTGATGGGCGAGCGACTCTATTCGCAACGCCTTCATAACTCGACGTTTAGAGTACGGATTTTATTATAATTTATATTGCCTGAAAGAGTCTTATGCTCGAATGAACGAGTACAATTAGCGCCATCTAGATCGATGAATAGATTTACAGATTTTTTTACAGTTCTCGCCCGGAATTTCTGTAAGGTACGGTGACTGGGTAGCGAGAGTATGCTTTCCCTTTATTTACTTTTATGTGAATTAGAAAACTTTACTGTAATTTACAATATTTGAGATAGAATATCTATTGTTATACATTAACAATACTTTGTAAAAACCATATGCAATAGGTATATCAGAACAGAGTATAGGTAGGTAACGGTAGTGACGAAATCTAAATACATAAAATTTGGAACATAGGTTTATTTGATAACGTAAGCTTCCGCTAAGAAAGGATTTTTGGAAGTTTCAACTTTAAGGAAGAGGGGATGACTTTGTATAAAAGTCTTTGTTCTTTGAAGTTAGAAACATGAAAATTTGAATTACAGCAACTGGGCATAAATAAATAATGATGTGTTTCAAGGTTCTTGGATTTTCACATTTTAAGGGGAACGGGAAATGGGAGGTATTTTTTTTTAAATGGGAACTAAAATTGGAATTGTATCTACTCATCATAAATAAATAATGAAGTATTTCAGAGTTTCTAGATTTTTATATTTTAAGGGGACGGGAAGGGGCAAAAATAATAATAAAAATAAATAAAAATAAATAAAAATAAATAAAAATAAATAAAAATAAATAAAAATAAATAAAAATAAATAAAAATAAATAAAAATAAATAAAAATAAATAAAAATAAATAAAAATAAATAAAAATAAATAAATAAAAATAAATAAAAATAAATAAAAATAAATAAAAATAAATAAAAATAAATAAAAATAAATAAAAATAAATAAAAATTAATAAAAATAAATAAAAATAAATAAATAAAAATAAATAAAAATAAATAAAAATAAATAAAAATAAATAAAAATAAATAAAAATAAATAAAAATAAATAAAAATAAATAAAAATAAATAAAAATAAATAAAAATAAATAAAAATAAATAAAAATAAATAAAAATAAATAAAAATAAATAAAAATAAATAAAAATAAATAAAAATAAATAAAAATAAATAAAAATAAATAAAAATAAATAAAAATAAATAAAAATAAATAAAAATAAATAAAAATAAATAAAAATAAATAAAAATAAATAAAAATAAATAAAAATAAATAAAAATAAATAAAAATAAATAAAAATAAATAAAAATAAATAAAAATAAATAAAAATAAATAAAAATAAATAAAAATAAATAAAAATAAATAAAAATAAATAAAAATAAATAAAAATAAATAAAAATAAATAAAAATAAATAAAAATAAATAAAAATAAATAAAAATAAATAAAAATAAATAAAAATAAATAAAAATAAATAAAAATAAATAAAAATAAATAAAAATAAATAAAAATAAATAAAAATAAATAAAAATAAATAAAAATAAATAAAAATAAATAAAAATAAATAAAAATAAATAAAAATAAATAAAAATAAATAAAAATAAATAAAAATAAATAAAAATAAATAAAAATAAATAAAAATAAATAAAAATAAATAAAAATAAATAAAAATAAATAAAAATAAATAAAAATAAATAAAAATAAATAAAAATAAATAAAAATAAATAAAAATAAATAAAAATAAATAAAAATAAATAAAAATAAATAAAAATAAATAAAAATAAATAAAAATAAATAAAAATAAATAAAAATAAATAAAAATAAATAAAAATAAATAAAAATAAATAAAAATAAATAAAAATAAATAAAAATAAATAAAAATAAATAAAAATAAATAAAAAATAAATAAAAATATAACATGTAGGTACGCCACTGATCTTTAAGAAAAAATCATTACCGTAGAACGGGGTTAATTGGGATAAATTTGAAACATTTTTTGCTGGTACTTCAAACATGTACTTATTCATCTTGTTTATAAATATTTGGAAAGGTAGTAGATTTATGTCTTATGTGAAAAAATGTGCCTTCCCCATTACATAGGGGGCTAACATTTTTTCTTTTATAGCTGTCCCAAATTACCCCGTAGGGTGGGGCTATTTGGGACTAATAGCAAATTGTGTTAGAACTCAAATAATATTGATTGTTGAGGCTTTTTGGGACACCCAAAATAAATTTAAAAAAATTAACATTTATTTTGTGGTTGTAACCAAACGTTTACAAATAATATTATTATCCTAAGTTACAAAAAAATTAAAAAAATATTCTCTGGCAAAAGAACACAAAATTAGGTTTGTTTTGACACTTTAATAATTAAAAGGCTTGAGATCAATATTGAAGCTGTAAAATTTTCTTCTTTCTGGTCCCGCTAATATTGGTGGTCTTAAGATCTTCACGACCATATCTCCACTTATATGATCAGAATCCTGTACAAGAGGAGTAATAAACCTTCCACTGAACTTGTCCGATTTTTTTTAAATATTCCACATGTAGTGTCGAGTCAAGAACTTGATTTACTTGGCAGATAAAGTGCTTTGTACTTTTCTTTACTTCATAATCAACCACTATCCAGTTGCCTTCTTTTAGCCTAGCTAAAATACTTGCTTTCTCATCGCTGAAAATTTCAGTATTTTTGGAATGTTGCAAGTTTTTTTTTATGTTTATTAGTGGCAGAACATCACTATTGTCGGAAAAATGTCCAGACTCCAGGCCCATGTTCTTCATCGCTTATAAACATTTCGGAACTATTATACCCTTTTTCAGTGGTAATGGGGGCATTTTTAATGTGTATTAGCGGTAACTCTTCACTTTCATCAGACAAAGCATAATTTTCTACATTTTTAAATCTACTCACTTCATCGTTGCAAGAATACTCAGCATGGTCTAGTCGTTTAGGTTGACATATCGGCTGTTTAGGTGTACTGCCAGATGTTGATGGTATGGATAAATCACTTTTTCCAGGCCCCACATTAAGCCTTTTACGTCGAGCAACTTTCTTTGTTTGGTCCCCAGACCTCATATATTTTAAAATATTTATTATCACGTCAGATACTACATTAGTAACATTTGCTGATTCCTGTGATCTAGGTAATCTTTCTTTCGGTCTTGATGAGTCTACAGGATATAACCCAGTTTTGGAAAATCCTGACACCAAATTGGAAGAGCCCTTTCCTCCTTCTTCAAGTTTTTCTTGCAACTTTGACAAAAGGCTGGGGAATGCATATTTTGTTAATGACGGAAATTTACGACCAGCTGTCATCTTCCAATTGCTTAGAATGCCTCGCCAATATTTTTTGAGTGGCGCGTAGAACGCAACGTCTAGCGGTTGCATTCGGTGGCAGACATATGAACGCAATATTCAATTCCTCGCACTTCTGGAGAACCTTCTCTAAAAAGTGCGAGGAGAGGTTATCTCCTATAAGGACCTAAAAAAAATAAGTGGACTTAAAAGTTTGGAAAACCAGATCCTACCTACCTTTTGACTATCTTTGTTCCAAAAGAATGGTACAACTACAGTGAAAAACCAATCCTCAAAGCATATACTGTCGAACCAGCCACTCTTAAAACCATTATACCTTGTACCTGAAGGACCACCGACGGTCCGGGAATCCCATAAATGATCAGCCTTGTAAACAACATATATTGGAAGAAGCTGTCCATCGGCTGTTTCCGTATACATCAGGCTAATTGCAGTTTTGGTGGCATTGTGTCCCTCTTGTAAATACATTTTTAGACTCTGGGTCATCTGTGAGATTTGTCTAGTCGAAATTAATAATTAGAAAAGTATCTGTCCCAGACAACATTTGGATGCATTTTCAAAAAACCAATCTGACACATCTTCTGAAAGAGCGACCCTTTTAATTGATATATTAGCCGAAAGGCGATTTGATATTTTATTTTTATTTCGTTTGATAAAATTGACAGCCCAGTCTTTTCCCGGCATATTGTCGTTTATTCTTCCGTCCCGAACGCCTTTTTTTATCGAGGTATCGTTTTACCATCATTCTCAAGTCTCTCAAGTCAAATGGGTAGCCCCATGAAGCAACCGTGTTCAGGTTTTGTACAAAAACATTTTCTTCATCATCGTTGAACAGACTCGGTCTACGCGGGCGTTTTTGCTGCATATTTTGACCAAGAAGTTTCCTCCCTAGCGTGAATTTGGGAATGCGGCTGCGGCTCTAATATTTCGTTTTCGTTTTTTTTTATTTCATCTAGGGCTTTCGCTAAATTACTCTCCGAATGGGAGGAGTATATGTTAATTTTTTTTCCTTTTCGACAATTACTCATTTTCCTTCGATAGTTTCGCATCATTTTTACAGCCTAGAGGCAAAAAACTCACTGTTACCGGTCATATATTTCATGTTATTTGCTGTCCCTATTGTTTTGTCCCAAATTACCCCACCAAAGAAAACAGCCTGTTAAAAATCTAATATGTAATTCTGTACCATCTGTGAATAAGTCGGTAAGTCAAAAATTGAAGTTTTTCAGTATGGCCATTTTAAACAACATTTTGATGTTTTCGAAAAACAAATTTTAAGTTGAATTTCGTTTTTTGAAATAGGTTGTTAATTATACAACCAACAATGTAAATAATTATAACCTGTGAAATTATATTACTTAATGAAAAAATCTGACTTGCCTATTTATTGACCTCAAATATGTGCGTTGTTGTTGAGTTACTGACTTATTCTAGTATAAATAAAGAGGACAAAATTGTTTTAATATTTTTATTTATTCATGAAAAAAGCAAAGTGAACTTATTTCAAATAACATACATTTTGATTAAAAAGAAAACTAAAAAACAACTGATCATTTGGATAAACCTCTTCCAAATCCGGGGATAGCTGTAGTTACCGGTTTTGGAACAAAAAATTGGAGAAATCCAACTATTCACGGCGTCCTCTGAAGTAAACTCATGGAGGAAGCTATTACGAATTTGAATCACCCATTTATTGACCAAATAGTATGGGAAGAGCCCTTTATATATATATGTAGAGATCCTATTTTTATTAAAATTTGACTTATCCACTTATTCACGGATGGTACAGAATTTATCTTTACAGTATTTATGTTAGGTCATCTACAGTCGTCTAACAATTAGTTACAACTATCAAAGTTACCTTATCATTAGCAGTCAAATTCCGAGAACAGAAAATTGGACACTATCGTTTTTTACGTCGATTTTCACAATTTCTTGCAAGTCACCTCACGCTTCCAACAGTTAATTCAACGGACTGAAGTGAATCATCACGTTCACCGTAAACATGCTGCCACGTGATGCGACTCGCACATTTTTGTTAGACGTGCACCTGTTGCGGCGGCGTTGCTAAATTTATTTATTTTCGTTAGGTCCCAAATAGCCCCGCAGTTCTCAATTAACCCCGTTTTACGGTACTAGATACTAGAAAACATGTCTCAATAGTAAATAAATAATTTTTAGTTGATCTAATTTACTAAAAATTAGTGACCAGGTGGATGATAAACTCAATAATTTGACCCACTTAAGGGGTTAATAATTTAATTTTAATTAGTTAAAGTACGGCCAGATTTTTAGCTGACACTTTCTTTTTATCTAGGATATTTCGGATCTATTTGGTTCCGATTTGCCAGTTGAAGGCGGGGTAGGTGGCCAATTTTCTTGGCGTGATGGTCCTCTTCTTCAAGCACTCAAAAACGGCAATTGGATTTTGCTGGACGAACTGAACTTAGCTTCCCAATCAGTACTGGAAGGTCTAAACGCCTGTTTGGATCACAGAGGAGAGATATTTATTCCGGAATTAGGAAAAACCTTCCTCGTAAAAGCCGGAACTCGCTTTTTTGGTTGCCAAAACCCGTTGAAACAAGGTGGATCTCGTAGGGGATTGCCTCAATCTTTCCTCAACAGATTTATTCAAGTATACGTCAATTCCTTGACAGATAAAGACTTGACATGCATTTTATTGAATCAATTTAGTAATTTACCTAGTAATATGCTACACAAAATGGTGACATTCAATACTAAAATAGTGGGACTATTGGAAAGTCACACTTTCGGTCATAAAGGAGCACCATGGGAGTGTAATCTACGTGATTTAACAAGATGGTGCGAAGTTACCATCTATCACTCCAAAATAGCGCACGGTTACCATCCGGAAAGTGTCGTTCACCTAATATATGCTGACCGCATGCGCACTCTATTGGACAAAGATAGAGTCAAGACAGTTTTCGAGGAAGTTTTCGGTTGTGAAGTTCGCGGTACTCGTCCAGTGGCGTACGTCACCGAGGATAGAGTCTTTTTCGGGGACATTTTCGTTGAAAGGAACCAGAATAAGGTGGACACTAATATTTTGAAGCAGGAAAAAAGTGCTTTGGTATTAAGGGGACAACTGGAAGTGTTGAGAAGTTTGGCGTTTTGTGTCAGTCTGAATTGGATGGCCGTTTTGGTAAGTAGAAGGCTACATTGTTCTTTTACTTTTAAGTTGACATTTTCATTTTATTTATAAATGGATTCTGTAAGGGTCCTTTATGTGCCGCCCAAGTAACATTTTTAGATTTATCAAGGTATACAAGATAACCATAAAATAATTTTTTAAGACAAAGATTATGATAATAAGTGGGATAGGCATAAAAACTTTACAAAACTAATCAGTTTTAAGAGAATTAAATTTTAAACTGTTTCACCTTTATTCTGTTTTATCATACTCTCTGTCAGAGTGATTTTCCAAACATGTTTAATTTGTTTGGTAACACTTGTTATTTCCTCAATTTTCAAACACACGCCAAAGTACTGTTAAAAGTGGGCAAGGTGGGTCGTAATAAATGATGGCCCTTACAATATATGAAATTTATGTAAAAAAAGGATTAATATACGGGGTCTAATCTATTAACCGAAAGTTATTTAATAGAAAAAAAAAAACATTTGTCTTCGATATGTATTTGATATAAAATATCACATTTTGTATTTTTCAAATTATTTAATGGAAGTGACTATTTAACCGCCAATATAAATCCTATTTGTAGATTTGTCTTTGCAGGAATACTTGTCATCGTCAGAAAACCATTTTCAACTGCACCTACTGGAAGACCAGAAACAAACTTTGTGTTTAATCATAAGTAACATTAGGCGAGGCAAGAGTCGTATAACATGTTCCAATATAAATTACATTTATATGCCCCAAAAGATATTAAGTATAGACAAATATGACTTTATGTAGTTAAACGCAGTAAACGCACTCATAATAAATCCACTGGCATTGGCATACTGTCGTTAACACACTATCACTCTCTATGGTACACAAATTATGCCATTACTAAAATCGAAAGATTTAAAATTATTATTTTTGGCCGTAATATACTTTAATATACTTTAAGTAATGCTGCGTTTGAGAATCCACATCGGATGCATCTGAGATGTAAAAAATCTTTGATCACGTGATTCAGTATACGTAAATGTAATGGGACAGATGTGTCCGATGTGGATAAAAAAACGCTCGAGATGTAAAAAATGCATCCGATGTGGATTCTCAAACGCGGCATAAGTAAGTTATTTGAATATCCATTAGGTACATGTCTAGTAGACATGTACTATTTTACATGGTATGTGATTAAACAGCCACTGCCATATTTAAAATGGAGGATTTCCTCATTGTGTTCTTTCTGTACCTAAAAACTGACATTAGCTTACAAAACTAATAAAGTCAATGAAAATACTTTTTAGAACTTTCCAGTTTTAACAAGCTTCTGCTAAACTTTTTAAAGTGTTTCATAAAACAATAGCAAAAACGAAAACCACAATAAAACATTCATAAGTTCAATCCTTAGACGGGCATAACCTAACCTTACTCGTTAGCTTCTTATTTACTCCACGAACAAGTCATTAAAAATATAAAAATAAGAAATAATACATTAACCATGTTTCTAATTCACTGATCATTTTCCAGAATATTAGGAGTCTCGAAACGTTTCTGTGGTGTTTGTTCAACAATGGCACACAATGAATTTGTTAAACACTGACGAGAAGGAGAAACTTATATATTTATCATATATTTTTTTATTCTCTATGAAAATTACCTCTTTTCTTTATTTTGATTTAATTTTGATTAATTTATCTTGGAACGTTAACATAATGTGATTGAGTTGAAAAGCTAGGTTATGCTCTAAAATAAACTTTAGTTCTTATTAATACTATGTAGTTTTAAAAGAGCCCTATCGTTTACTAGATTAAATAAATTATAAGATTTGTTGTAAAATTGTAAAAAATGTACCTAAAAGGTTCTGGGATCAATTTATTTTAAAGTATAATTCAGAACACTTTTTAAAACTAAGTTTTAAAACCTTCTTAAGGTAACTGCTAAAAAATATGCCTTTTTAACACCAAACACACCTTAGGAGTATCTTCAAACTAAATAGTTCTAAAATTACTTATTAACTAACCCTTACAGGCAGGGCTGTCGCAGAGATATTTAGAAATGTACTAGAAAATTCGAGGAAAATGTACTAAATTTTAGATGGACTGTCACTTGTCAAAACTGTCACGTATGTTGTCAGTTGTCATGTCAAATCTTGTAGGATGGATGGGCGTTGTTTTTGTTGCTTATGTACTTTCAAAAATTGGAATTTGAATATTATATCACTGGAATATACCGATACGTTAATATGAATATAGTTTTGTTTTAAACAAGTTTAAAGGCAAGTTTTTATATGTTTATCAAGGTAGGTAAAAATAAATTGTACGATCATACACCAGTCACTGAAACCAGGATTCTGCGCAATATATAATTTGGCGGTCCCAATAATTGACTGCGCAGAATCCTGTAGTCGGTGACGGGTTTCTGTTCGTTATTGGAATAGACCTTGTGTAATATCCCTTTTCTTTAGGGAAAATACCGCCAATATTTACAATACTTACCCTTATATCGGAAAACTTAGGCTTTTTATCATAGATGGTGCCACAAAGACGATCAGTATTTCAAATTGTACTAAATTTTCCCTGATTTGACTTAAAAGGTACTTATGTACTATGCCGTGAGAAATGTACTAAATTTAGTACAATTGTACTGAAACCGCAGCCCTGCTTACAGGACAATGATAAAGCATAATTTACTTTAGGATAAATTAGTTTTCTTAAACAGTTTTCTAAAACCAAGCAATAAGATCAATTTATCCTGCAGTCCTATTAACAAAAAAAAATCACTAGTACATTAATTATTAATTTTTATGCCTTTACAAAATCCTAATAAAACTTGTTTCTCCTAAAAATGTTACTTGGGCGTTTTACAATTTTGACGTTTAAATATGTAATAAGCACAGCACTTAAATTAGGAGAAGAGATTTGACAGTTTATACAAGGAGAATAAAATTGAGGGTTTTGAGTTTGCGTAGTAGGTGCCAACAGGGCCATAATTGCAAAAATTATTAACAGAAACAGAAAAAAATTATTCCTTAAAGTATTTTTTTTTATCAAAACTGTATAGAAATATTTAAACGACATATAGGTAAATATAATATGTGTAAATATTCTAACTGGAAAATTTTCATCTCAAAATATGAAGGTTTAAGCTAAATCACTTACACAAAATATTGCTCCTTACTGAGTTTTATTTAAATTATTAAAAATTAACTTTGATCATTCTTTTAAAACTTTTAAAATGAACTATCTTATGACAATAAACACAAATCTAATTAATACTTATATGAACAATAAATAATATTAAAATCAAAATAATTGGCCAGCCTTATGTTTAACTTTAAATATCTCGAACAATTATAATCAATGACAATTTGTCTTAAACTACTAAAATAATGATCAGAATCAATTTTTAAATATTTAAATAAAACACCCTGTAGTTTAATAAGGAGCAATATTGGGTCTAATTGGGTTAAATCTTCAAATTATGAGCTCAATATTTTTTTAGTTAGAATATTTACACTTTTTAATAAAACACCGTGTATTCAGCAAACTCCGTCTTTGAAATCTCAATTTTGAATCTCCTTGTTGGAACGTAAATTTTGATCTAGAATTGACATCAAATTCATTCTCCCAATTTCAACTCTGTGCATCAAAGCCACGATTTTGACGTTCGGCTGTTAAAATGGTTTTTATAAATATAATATTTTGTTTTTAGGTGGGGACTTCGGGCGCGGGAAAAAGTAGTGCGGTAAAAACATTTGCGAACCTTGCAGGTAAAACTTTAAAAACTTTACCGGTGACATCGGCTATGGATACGACTGATATTTTAGGAGGATTTGAACAGGTAAGTTGTTGAAATATTTTTTTTTAGTATTAAACCGTTATTAGAAAGTGTAATAGATATTTATAGCAGTCATTTTCTTGATTCAATTGATCTTCTGTAGTATACAAAAATTTTAATACTTACTTAGTCGCTATTTGGTATTTCTTAAAATAATACTTATTTCTGAAATAAAACGCATTAGAGTTTTCTAGTATTTTATTCATGTTGAAACTATTTCTCTCTCTAAACATATACATTCGATATTTTCTTCAAATTGTATAGCATGCAGTGCAATTTTTCATCACTTAAATTGACTATAATGTAACATTACATTTTGATGTATTCATAATATTCCGTTTTTACAATAATTAGATTTTATTTACATTTTAATTTATTTTCTATGTACAATTTTTGTAGTTTTAATATTTTTATATTTACATTTAGGCACATGTTTTTAGGTTGCTTTTTATTACCTGAATATTTTTGCTGTTATAGCTTACAGTGTTTTTGAAATATCTACTAATATTAATTTTTGATAAGGTGCTCGAATTAAAACAATATTGCTTACTACAATGTGGGTCTAAACACCTATTAAAAAACTTTGTTCCATTTTTGATATATTTTTACCAGTTGTGCTCTATTGAAGACTGAAGTAGTTACTTTAAGCCACTGGTTAGACATTAAAAATGAAACGGGAAACCTCAAAATGGTAATTTATAATTCAAGGACGAAAAATCATTTTTAGTTCGTGTTTCATAAACTATTTTTTTTATTGGAATGTAACTAAATAAGATTTATAAAAAAATATATATAACACGTCATTGGAAAATAAGTTGTCTAATTTGGACGTCAGAATTATATTGCTTTAAAACCAATTTGGATAAAACTATCTTGTACTTCAACAGGGAACATCATTAGCAGATACATTTCGAGAAATAAATCGACAACTCCGCCCACAATTACTTACAGTAGTGTTTTATGCATCACGATTTCCACAAGCAATGGAAACCGCCATTCCGATATCTGATAAACATGTTCGTATGCGCGAAAAGGACCCCGCACCAATCCTTAATAATTTTGCATTTCGATCAAATTTTTAAATGTTAAAAACTTTTCGGTCAGAATTTGACGAAATGTTAGTACTTACCGTATTTTTCGGACTATAAGACGCACCTTTTTACAAAGAAAAATTAACTCAAATTTTGATGCATCTTATGGTCCGAAGGTAATATTCATAGATGACGCAGAACATTCTTCTAAAAATCATCTTATAAATTTGAAGTGCGTCTTTTCGTCCGGTGCGTCTTATCGTCCGGTGCGTTTTATCGTGTAGTGCGTCTTATCGTCCGGTGCGTCCTATAGTCCGGTGCGTCCTATAGTCCGAAAAATACGGTAAAACTATTTAAACTGTCGATCACTATTTCGTAATTTCAAAATATCCCAAGATGTATTTCAATATGAGCGCAAATATAAGTAAAATCGTTTTTTTTTTTTTTCGTAGAAGTACGAGTAACTAAAACTCTCTCTTTGCTTTCTACATACAACTGATATACAGGGCGAGACCATATACGTTAGTAAAAAAAAACGAACGATGGAATTGTTGAAAGGAAGCTAACACATGAATATTTCTATTTGTATTAATATTATAAGTTAAATCCAGTAGACACCTGATGTACAGAGTGTTTAATTTCTTTGACATTATTATTCTTGCTATCTCATTTTCTGATCAACCAATTGAAATATCCATGTTAAAATCAACTGTTTGCTACTTGTGTATGCCTACTTACTATTTATAAACAGGGTGGGCCACCGGTTACGCCTCGGTGTATAGATCCAAAACTATTTGATTTTTTTAATCTGTTTCCACAGCGAGATGTATATCAGAAAAGGCATCAATTTAAAAATAATTTCAATAATACAGGGTTCTCCAAGAAAATGATAGATATCAAATTTAGTTTTTTTTAATGGGACATCCTGTATTTTATTTTATATTTTATTTCCCCTTGCTTTTCCCATTACAAAAATACTAAGTAGTATGAGATTATACAGGGACTTTCTCACGCTATAACCTTTTTTATATGAAAATCGTATCGATTTCAACTACCAGTATACTACAAAAGAAACTATTGAAAACCAATTTTTTTTGCAGTAAAAGGTTTTCAATATTAGTCAAAATTTTATGCCGATGCACTACTTTTTTCAATTCAAACAAAAGTCATAACTCGAAATACATATTTTTCTCATTTTTTTTTTAAATTGACCACCCTGTATTTTATATCACCATTTAAAAGAACCTTAATTAAAGTTAATAATTTTGGGAGATTTTTAATTTTAAATGACGAAGATAGTTCACAAAATACTTTAATTTTAACTGGCCACTGGTTAACAGGAAATTATACTGTTTGTTAATTAGTAATAAGAATTTATCCAGCTGTAATTTATTATCGACTGAATAAGTTTTTGACAATTTAAAATAGGATTATAACATTCAATTAAAAATAAATACCAATAGCAACCACCAGAGGCGGCTCGTGTCCTAGTCTACGAGAAGGCTACGGAGGCTATTTTTAATAGGCACACCCTATATACTTAATATATGTTTCTATTAGAATACAAAAAGCAGAAAGATTACATTGTATTCTAATAGAAATCTATATTTGTATTAAGTATATAGGGTGTGCCAGATTAGGCAACGAGTCGCCTATGGAAACCACTTATAGACATACTCCATTATAATCTGTATTCTGAGTTTATTATATTTTTAAGTTGACTTTGAAACCCAAATAGTTGGTTATTATTAACATGATTAATGTTGCGATACTTGTTTTTAAAAAAGTGTAGCCAGTTTTTAATTATGCCCTTTAGTCGTGAATAATAAGTATTTCGAGTGTTACTTAAGAAATGCTTAGAAATGTGAGTTGAACCTTTGAAAACCACCTTTAGACCTCCATAAATATTATTGGAGGCTATTTTGAGAACATTTTCTATTTAAATAAAATGAATTAAAACAACACTTAATAAACTTAAGAATAAAGTAGGAATTATGTGAAGTTTTCGGTTGCTATTTTTATTTCTTTTTTTACTGAATGTAAAAGTCGCATTAGGTATTGTCAAAAATGTATTCAGTCAATAATACATTGTTGCTGATTAAATTTCAATTACCAATTATTAACAAACAGTCTATTTTCTATTAATCAGTAACCAGTTAAAATTAAAGTATTTTTGAATTACCTTTTTCTCATTTAAATTTATAAATCTCCCAAAATTATTAACATTAGGTATTGGCACCGTGCGTAACAGCAGCGCCAATGAACTATCGGACGATGTTTTCTTATACAGACAATACAATTTTTAATAGCATTCGTAATTAAAAAATATATATGTTGCTTTTAATAAAAGTAAATGGATCACTTATTTCAGAAACAACCCAAGTCACTATTTATCTATATTGGGTTTATCATATTAACATTGTAGTCTGGAGTAACACAAGTTTAGCGTAGAAAGAACTAATCCCCCTAAACTTTCTTAATTATAATTATGACAATTTAAAATATTCGTTTATTTCTGAAACAATTTTAGTCCTTGTAAAAATTTTAGGGTGTTCTGCAATTTTTGCAAAATAGCTTACCTTCTTAGTCAAAGTTCCATCGATTTTATCGTGCTTGCTAAATGATGTATTTCTGGAACGATTGCCACACAAAAAAAAACAGAATCACCAAGCACTATTTTACTGCACTCTATTTTCTTCAAGTAAAATACAAAATGTTTTAAAAAATGACGTGAACAATTTAAACAGATAGTGCGATTTTACAGTCTATTTTTTATAACTCGACACCGTACGTATTACTCGCTGCGCTGGACTAATTGCAGCGAACTCTCCACTTAAATCACCGGTTTGTTTTAACCGTGGGCGCGAGGGTAGCGGAGTGCCGCGCGGGTGTTTGAAATAGCGCACAGAGCTCCATCACATGGTCCAGATAAATAATAGTTCAGCAACAGACTGTGCAAGCGTGTGTGTCAGTAGGTAGTGGAATAATCTAATTCCACTACACTATATACGTACACGGACTCCAGCGATTATTACAATGCGAATATAATTTACATTTGCTTTTTGGTAATAGGAAATATTTGAGTTAGATTATGTATTTAGCATTTTTTTTTTGGGAGCTCTGCAGTACTGCAGCACTTGTCCACCAGCCGCCACTGATCCTGGTCCTAGTTAAAAACGTTTTATTCATCTCCTGAAAACTCAAAAACTGACTTAGGTTCTTTCTGAAATAAGCGATTCAAATGGATTTGTAATACAAGTACAAAAAATATTTATAATTTTCATTATATATTTTTATTAATAATAAAACATTACGAGAAAATGTATGAGAAGTTGCCTAAGAATAGGTTAAATAATGCCAAATTAAAAAATTACCATTAAATAATAACGTGAAATCAAAATGTATTACCAAAAGAACAATAATTGATATATTTGCGAGTGTAATTTTTCTTCTCTTCATTTTTACCTTGAAAGAAAACATAGAATTAATGATTAACACTGGTTTCCTATCAATAAGTCACAAAATTGCATTCCAGCCACATACCATAATCAAAGGCAGAAATCTAGTTCTTGCTGAAAATTTAAGATTTAACGGATGTTGAAGAACATCGTATAATTGTTTATTTAAAATCTTTCTAATATCTACTATTTCCAGTAATATTGGTATTATTACAAAAGTGTAGATCCTTTTTTTCTTCTTATTGTAGGTGCAGCTATCCATTTATTTCTTTGATTTAATTTCCATTTTGCAACTGATAATTTATATAATTTACACTGTTTTTTTTTTTGCTAGTATTTATACAATTTACAACACAACTCCGATTGCTCATTGTATTGTTTTTACCTATTTTTATAAAAAAATCTAAAATATATATGTACGTGTATTTGATACGCCAAAATTACAAAATATTGGAATTATCCGCAGCTTGCGCTAGTATCGCTTTTGCTTCACCTACCATGACTTCGCACTGAGCGAATAGAAAATGCTTAACTTAAAT